CAGACTCTGGCTTCTCCTCTCCACTGATTGCTGTGCTTATGGATACAAGCTGGTGCAGCTATTATGTATGTCTGAAATAGTGCCCACCCTCTCTCTGCCAGTTACAGGATGCCAATGCCGGGTGGTCAGAGAGAGAAACATGTCCCCTCCCCCCTTTTTTTACCTCTAGGTTGGCTGTCCCCCACAAGGCTCCAAGCCAGACTCCTGCCAGGCTCTTCCTGCAGTTTTATTGCCAGTGGGTTGGGCTGCTGCAGTCTGTCCTCACCTCACTCTCTAGAGCTGGTGCTGAGGCTCTCGGCTGCTGTGGTCCTTAGTTGTGTGCATTTATACCCTCCATGTAGATCCACAGTGTCCCTCCAATTTGAATATAGTTTCCTCTGCAGTTTTCCCCATAACTCCTCCCTGAGACTACACTCTCTACTTTTTTCTAACAATGTTCCCCTAGACTAGAGCAGAAGCTCCCTCCCTTTTGCACCATATTGGAATTACCTGATAGTCAACTTCTTACAGATACAATTTTCCTTCCCCTTGGAGGATGTAATGTTATTGAATCACCATCACTATCCACATGTGACTTTCTCATAAAAGTCCTTAGTGGTATTTAATATGGCATTGTTTAATAGCATAATGAAGGAATAATATATATATATGAATTTTGATATATTCTTAACCAGAATCTACTAGATACATTGTGAACCAGTACAGTCTTTTAAAAAGCAAGGTTAATTTTCATGCAAAGAAGTTATAACTATGTTAAAACCCTAGAAGTAAAATAAAAGCAACTCAGAATATCCTTGTTGAAGAGAGTAAAGGAGCAGTACCTGAGACTCAGAATGATGATTATTTTTTTTTTTTAAAAGCACAAGAAGGGACACCATGCTTCCTTCACATTCCATGTTGCCTTTTCATTGGGAAATGGGAGTGAGGCTGACATGAGGGTGTGCATAACTGGGATCATTTTCTAGTGTCCCTGAGTTTGGAACCACTAGAATCAGAACCTGGAAGCCGAGAGGTGCCAAAGAGGTCATTGAGAATAATCTCTTATTTTTACAGATGAGAAAGCTGAGGTCTAGAGAGGACCTTATGATTTTCATAAGGTCTCATAGCCCAGTAAGAATAGAGCTCAATGACACTCCATCCTTCAGTCTTTTTGTTGGTTTCTCTACAACACAGGCCTGGGATCTTCAGGGGAGGGGGAAGATTTAGAGGAGTGCTGATGGTAGCAAGATAATGTCTGGAACTCTTCTGAAAGAACAACAGCCAGTCAACTGCAAGGATGTGCAACACCTGGGGAACCCCAGAGCATCAAGGGAAGTCTTCTCCATAGGTGCACAGACAAAACTCGGGACCTCTGTGAAGAGCACCCTTTGGGTGTGCCTTATTGGCTTTGCAGGGCCCATTTGGGGGTGGCTTTTCTTGCCATGCCTAGTATAAAGTGCTGAGCATTTTGCATGCTACATAGATATAAAGATTAAATTGGATATCCACCATCTTTGCCCTATATGAAAAGTCATATGAGCTTGGAAAACAGTGTATTACCCAGAGAGAGAAACTGGTGTTGGTAGGTAAATGAGGAGGAGCTGTGACTGAATATGGTGAGACTTAATAACAGGTTGTTGCTAACACAGACAGAATTCATGTCTGAATAGATGACCCAGAAAGTCTCTCCATAGAGAGAAATAGCTTCTATTTTGATCTATTTCAAAACCCCAACGGGTACAGTGCAAATCAGTGTCTAAGTGGTTTATGGATCCTACCTGCAGTCTTGAGTTTATTTTCCCATTTACTATACATGATTTCTTTTTGATTCGTCTAGTTATTTATGGTTCAAATGTGTTTTAGTTTTATTTGGCAAATAAGAATAAGTTTTACATAAGTAATCAAAGTAAGTTGTGCTGCTCTGGCCTCAGAATCAGCCCTAAAGGCACTCGGATCTGGCTGAAAAGCCCATGAGAGTATTTCAGGCATGGAAAGCCAAGACACTCTGGCAAAAAGATCTCTGTGAGTGAGATCCCAGTGGAAAGAACAGGTCTTCAAAGAGGGAGGTGCCTTTCTCTGAAGGGAGGAGAGAACCTCCACTTTGACTATGACCGTGTCTAAACAAGATAAGAGTCGGAGAACTCAAGGGGCTTCCATAGCCTTGGAAACTCATGACTGGTGCATAGGGAGATTACTGGTGCCATAAATAGGAGTGTCAATTTGTAAAGTCAACAACAAGAGTCACTGTGCACTTACTCCTCATGTAGGATCTCTGTCCTTAATGTGCTGTACATTGAGGCTTAATGCTATAACGAGTACTCAAACAGTATATTTCACTTTGTGTTTCTATGGGGGTGCAAACGGTTGAAATCTTTACTTAATGTACACTAAACTGATCTTCTGTAAAAAAAAAAAAAAAAGAAATTATCAATTCCCAACTTGACTCTCACTGGGATTAAACATGACAATAGGTCTGATCTGATTTCATCATCATTTAAAAAAATCATCTATTATTTTTCACTTTATGTTTCTGTGTGGGAGCAAACTGTTGAAATCCTTACTTTATACTAAGCTGATCTTCTGTATATTAAGATAATCGAAAATGAATCTTGATGTGAATGGAAGGGGAGAGGGAGTGGGAAAGGGGAGGGTTGTGGGTGGGAGGGACGGTATGGGGGGGGAAGCCATTGTAATCCATGAGTCGTACTTTGGAAATTTATATTCATTAAATAAAAGATAAAAAAAAAAAGTAAGTTGTGCTGGATCATGGTATATTAGAGCCATTTTGTAACCTTTGGCAATCCAGTAAAAACGTCTACCATCTAGAGGTCAAAGTAGCACACTGCACCACTTGGCTAAGGAAAAGCTGAGGTTGTGAGCCAGCTGTTTCAAGTCATGTGCATGTCCTCATTGCCTAAACCACCGATGATGAAACCCTGGGAAGGATGCCAGATAACTGGGATGCTATTTAACAAGCATTAAATGTTGAGCAAGGAATGGTGCATTATGTAACTAACATTTATGTTTCTCTCATGGAAACTGCCATTCCTGAAGTGAATACGAAGGGTTCTAGCCTATACCTCTACAAGAGTAGTGGAATTAAAAGGTGGGTTCGTTTTGGTGCAAATTTTTTTGAAATCCATACATATGCATATTCCCAACCTGTTCCAAGGTGCTATGAGGGTGCCTAGGTTCTATCAGTCTCTCTTCAAGCCCAGACGACCAAACAGAGCACATGTGTAACTCTGACCTCTTCAGTTAGGCTTGGAGAAACTACTTCTTAATTTAGAAAACAGCTCACATAATCTCAAAAACAATGAAATCCGGTCATTTGCAACAAAATGGAGGAATCTGGAAAACATCATGCTGAGTGAATTAAGCCAGTCCCAAAGGGACAAATATCATATGTTCTCCCTGATCGGTGACAACTAACCAAGCACCAAAAAGGAAACCTGTTGAAGTCAAAATCTTTTCTTTACTCGTGCCAAGCTGATATTCTAAATAATGCAAGTGTTCAAAATAGAATCATAATTAATAGAAGTAAAACAAAGTAAGAAGTAGAACCACCATTTGAAGTCAGGACCAACTTCCCTCAGTTTCTATAATTTTACCCACAGCTGAATCACCACCTCACTTGTCATTCAAATAATAATTATACCTTTTATTTTTTATAAAGATTTATTTTATTTATTTGAAAACAGAGTTACAGAGGGAGAGAGAGAGGTCTTCTATCTGCTGGTTCACTCCCTAGATGGCTGCAATGGCCAGAGCTGAGCCAATCCGAAGGAGCCAGGAGCTTCTTCATGGTCTCCCACATGGGTCAGGGACCCAAGCACTTGGATCATCCTCTGCTGCTTTCCCAGGCATATTAGAGGGAGCAGAGCAGCCGGGACCCGAACCAGTGCCTATATGGGATGTCAGTGCTGCAGGCTGGGGCTTTACCCCTATGCCACAGCACCGGCCCTGCCCTTTGTATTTTAATTACAAGAGAAGATGAATTCTCACTTGTGTTCAGTGATGAACCAAGCCTGTTTCCGACCCCTTCACATTTTAATTTCTTGTTTGTGTCAACATTGCTCAGTTATTACATGGATCAGAGGCTCCTGTCTTCCCATAAGAAAAGAATTTCAGGGGCAAGCGTTATGGCAATAGAGGTTAAAGGTGCTGCCTGTGATGCCAGCATCCCATATGGGCACCAGTTTGTGTCTGGGTTGCTGCACTTCACATCCAGCTCCCTGTTAATGACTTGGAAAAAACAGTGGAAGATGGCAAAATGTTTGGGCTCCTGCCACCAACGTGGGAGACCCAAATGAAGCTCCTGACTTTGGCCCGGTCCAACCCTGGCCATTGCAGCCACTTAGGGAGTGAACCAGCAGATGGAAGACCTTTGTCTCTCCCTCTCTCTGTCTCTTCCTCTCTCTCTCTGTACCTCTTTCAACTAAATAAATAAATATCCAAAAAAAAAAAATAAAAAACAAAAAAAAGGTCAGGTCAGCTCATAGATGTTGCCATGGTGTGACAGCTGTTGCTCTTCCCCTCCCTCTTCCCAAGATTCCTACTTCTTGGCTTCTACTTGTGATGAAAAGAAGAAAGCAAAAAAAAGAAAAATGCTTTGTGCCTAGAAGGTGTCTTATAGCTCATGTATTCCACAGGAAAAGTTTAATTTCCATTTTGAGATTGAGGGGAGGGAGATAGCAACTTGCTTAAGGCCATACACTTAAAAGAGGAGAAGTGTTAGAATACAGGTTGGTCTAACTCCATAATCCCCAGGCTGACTTTGGCACCACACAGCCATTTGAAAATAACCTCTTTAAATTAAGTATTTATAATACAAACCAGAACAAGGCTTAGCAAGGTATATGTATTTTTAAACCCAATAGTCTGTTGAAGAACATGCAAAAGGAAGTAATTCTACATGAAGAAAAACCATGCTAGACAGCTAGGTCAAAGATTTCACCTTGAAGCCATGGAGCATGGCAGTGGAATTATGGGAGACCCATCAGTAGGAGGGCTAGTCTTACCTTGGGAGCAACATGAAGTTAAGTCTGTCAGCTCTGTCTCTCTCTGCCTTGTACAGCTGTGTCCTTTCCTCTACCAAATGTTCCAGGTTTCGAGAATACAGCTGTAGACGTCGGATCAAGGTATCCATATAACTTTCACTTTTTTGGTCATGAAAAAGGCTGTGGGCAGGAACAGATAAAGAGCTCTTGTGGATTATTAAGAAAGCATGAACATCCAGTGAAACAATGGGCAAATATGATGAACAGATAATTAAAGAAAAATGAGAACAGCCAAGAGACATAAAACTTTAATCTTAGAAGAAACAAAGAAATGGCAATAAAAATAAGATTTCAAAAAGAAAAACATTAAAATGAGGGTTATTGACATAGGAGAAGAAGGAGAATATCCACAGTACAACCTTCTTGAATAAGAATCTGGTAAAATGTTTTATAAACTGGGGCCGGCACTGTGGCCTAGCGGGTAAAGGCGCCACTTGCAGCACCGACATTCCATAAGGGTGCCAGTTCAAGTCCTGGCTGCTCTATTTCCGATCCAGCTCTCTACTATGGCCTAGGAAAGCAGTAGAAGATGGCCCAAGTCCTTGGGCTCCTGTACCCATGTGGGAGACCTGGAAGAAGCTCCTGGCTCCTGGCTTCAGATCAGCATAGCTCTGGTCGTTGCAGCCATTTGGGAAGTAAACCAGCATATGGGAGACCTTTCTTTCTCTCTCTCTCTCTCTCTCTCTCTCTCTCTCTCTTTCTGCCTCTCCTACTCTGTAACTCTTTCAAATAAAATTATAAACATATCTTTTAAAAAATGTTTTATAAACTTTAAAACTGCATATACCAAAGCCAGCATTGTGCCATAAAGAGCTCAAGTTAAGCCACCACCTGTGACACTGGCATCCCATATAGGTACTAGTTTGTGTCCCAGCTGCTCAACTTTTGATCCAGCTCCCTGTTAATGCACCTGGGAGGGCAGTGGAGGATGGCTCAAGTGCATGGGCCCCTGCCATCCACATAGGAGACCTGGAAGAAGCTCCTGGTTTTGGTCTGACCCAGTCTGTTTGTTGTGGACAACTGGGGAGTATATTGGTGGATGGAGGATCTCACTCTCTTTCTCCCCTACCCTCTCTCTGTAACTCTGACTTTCAAATAAATCTTTAAAAAAAAAGAACAAAACTACATATACCATCAACTAATCAACTCTACTTCTAAAATTTATCCTAAGGAAACAATCATGAGTGTGTTTAAAGTTATCTACAAGGAACATTACAGCATTCTTTATAAGAGCAAACATTTGAAAATAACCTAAATTTGTAACAAAAATGTAGTTAAAATATGGTACACTTAAATATTAATGTATCACAAAAATATAAATTAGAATAGTTAACTACACAGAAAAATGCTCCCTTTATATTACTAAGTGCACAACTCAAGTTTATAAAACAGCAAAGATTATAATTCCAGTTTTACTTTTTGAAAACTGGTGGTCCTCTTGGAAAACAAGTAATTTTACTTTCTTGGTTATTCTTGTTTTCTAAAATCTTAATAATAAATAATTTGTAAGAAAAGAAAACCTTTTAAAGAATGGTCTAGAAGTGATCAATGAACACGTAAGAGAAGGATCAAGAAAAGCAATGCTGAGCCACATCTCCACAGAGCAGAGAGTCAGGGTTCCAGAGCAAAAGCCCAAACTCTGGATTATTTTGTCAGACATGGGAGACCTGGATGAGATGCCCTTCGTGCCTCTGGAGTTGAAGACAGGCTGGTGCAGAGCTCAGGAGGAGACACTGGGCTCTCACGGCGTTGTGAGGGCCAGAGCAAGATTCACAGCACCCGGGGTGCTGAATGCATCAGGGCCATTTCATCAGCACCACAACAGTCCCACGTTGCCACTGCTGTTCCCATGGGGAGATGGCCACATCTCAATCCCCACACGGAAGGATGTCTGTTAACAATCAAGCTCCTTTCTGGATCCTACCCCAGACCTAGAAGACTGAAAACTGCTAGGTTTGGGATTAAGAAGCATTTTTTTTAACAAGCTCCCAGGGGATCTTTACTTGCACCCACTAGTAGAGGCTTGTCAGGTAGAATAGGGAGGGAGAAGGCGGAAGGAATGACAATGGATTGCTTTGCTCTGTGAAGAATCGATTCACTTAAAACAGTTTTCTAAGCTTTGACTGCATTTCTTAATCATCTGGGAAGCTATAAAACCCATGGTGCCAGCCTGTGCCCAGACCAATTACATCAGACTCTCTGGGGAAGAAGCAGGCATCAGAAGTTTTTAAAAGCTCCTTAAGGTGGTTCTAATGTGAAGAAAGTTTGAGAACCATCGCATTAACAGTGAAAGATCAGGGTCTAGTTGGTCTTCATGAGTTTAAATCGCAGCTGTCACACATCCAACCTCATTGATCTTACCGGTCTGTGCAGCAGTGAAAACGGGCAAGAATGAAACCCTTCATTACTTCCTGCTCCCCTCCCACAACTTATTCTACCAACAACAACCACATTTTGATTCCCTTCATTCCACGTCCTCTCCAGCCCCTGGGCTTTTAGCCTCAGGAAGTATCTGAATCTTCTGACCTAATGAGAACTATAGACAGAGCTGGAAGGAATCATAGAAATCTTGTTGTTCACTAATGAGAAAATTGACACCCAGCAAGGGTAAACATTTTACCCTGTGTCCCACAGCAAGCTATTATCAAATCCTAGTCTGGAAATCGGATCTCCCTCCTAACTTAATGCTACGTGCTGTGGGACATCTATAACTAAATATTGCTAGATAATTGTGTGCCGCTTTTTGTTTTTGACCCTGAATTCAGATATATGACACAGGCCTTAAATACCTAGGGCCAAAGCTGATGATTTAAAGACTTTATGATCTTAAGAAGCTTCCTGATCTTAAGAATTATCTAGGAGCTTTAGAGATTCTACAGACCTATGTTAGACTTCTAAATCCCAGTTATCTACAGAAGAGTCTGGAAACTCTGTATTTTTTAATGTAGATTTAAAAAAAAAGTTTTTTTTTAATTTATTTGAGATGCAGAGAGAGAGGCTGTCATAAATAGGTTCATTTAGCAAAGGCCCATAATGCCCCTGACTGGGACCCAAGCTGAGAACCAGGAACTCAATCCAGGTCTCCCACATAGGTGGCAGGACTCCAATTACTTGAGCCATTACTGCTGCCCCCCAGAGCCTGCATGAAGCTGGAAGCTGGAATCAGGAGCCAGAGCTGGGAATTGAACCCAGGCACTCTGATATGGGACATGGGTGCCTTAACCATTAGGCCAAGAGCCCAACCAGGAAACTCCATTTTTAACAGACAATTTTATGGCCATCAGAATTTATTTTTTAATCAGTTAAACTTGACCTTCAGTATTTAACTTTTCAAGTTATTATTTTTCTGAGAAAATAATTTTCATGCCACTTTAGTTTTTATGAGAATTTTAAAAAAATGAACAGGTATTTTCATTCTTGTGTGCCTCCAGATGTCAATTATCAAGGAAAAATCTGAAATTAACAAAGAAAAGTAAAAATGTCAACAATACCCAAATATTTTGGCCAGTATATTCTCAATTTTCTTGAAATCTGGTCTCTTCTCTGGATCTTCCTCCCAACAGTTCTTTACAAGTAGATATACCTGGAAGACAGAAGGGGCAGATTAGCTCAGAGGATGGTAAACTCAGTCAAGGTAGGCTCTGACCTTCTTCTTGATGGGAGAAATTCAGACAGGGAATATTTGAAAAAATATTTCCAATTCTGACAATGAGGAGAAGAGTCACCCAGTTCTCTGCAATGTTTGTCAGGCATCACAACCTACACTATTGTACCCAGTCATTCCCTTAGGTGAATTCAATGAAAAATGTGATACCAATTTGGATGAGCCTGGGTTGATGGGAGAGACTCAGTCCTTTACAGATGTGTGCAGGGTTTATATTGGGCATGGCAAAAGGCTATTTGGGCTCAGCGCATATGAGACAAGTGACTCAGAATGAGATGGACAGCTGTCTGATCCTGGCAGACACAAGAATGGCACAAGAAGCAAGTATAAAATGTCTTATGCCTGGGCTCCAATTCAAGAGATTCTGATTTAATTTGTATGTGACGTGGTCTTAGTTGGGTTCCCAGATTTGGCAAATAAAAGATTTGGACAGGGGCGGATATTTAGTGCAGCAGTTAAGATGCCACTTGGGATGCCTACAACCCATATTGGAGCGCCTGGGTTTGAATCCTGGCTCTCCTCCCAATTCCAGTTTCCTGTTTCTATGAGCTTTGGAAGGCAGAAGGCATTGGTCTAAATACTTGAGTCCCTGTGACCCATGTGGGAGACCTGGAGCCTGGCTCCTGGCTTCAGTCTGGCCTAGCCCTGGCTTTTATAGGCATTTGGGGAGTGAACTAGTGGGTAGAAGATTCTCTCTCCCCACCCCTTCCCTGCCTTTCAAATGGAATGAAAACAAGCAAACAAAAAAGATCCTGGGTGCAATCCCTCTTCCTGTAGGTTGCCTCAATCATTCTCTGGTTAGAGCCCTGGGACAGCTTTGGGTTGCCCATGCTCACCAGTAGGTGGTGCCCCTGTCTTGGTAAACGACCTGCTGACCACCTTGGAACAGAAGAGCCAGAAACAACAGACTGCATCATGGCACAGGAAACCCTGGCAGCTGCTCAGGAACTGAGCAGTGATCTAGCTTAGGCTATATTCTATTTGAACCAGCAACCACACAGGAAATCTGATTCCGCATTTCCACTTCCAGAATTGTCCACCTACACAACTGAATGGAAGATGATGGTGCATTAGTGGAAAAGGTGTAAAATGTATGGATGCCATCAGACTTGGGTGGTGGTGGGTGTTGAGAAACTGAAGGGGGAGGAATTCCCAGGACCCAGAAAAGCAGGAGGAAAGGAAGGAATGAGAGGAGCATGTGCATCTCAGACCTCAGGGCTGTAACCTGGATTTACTGTTGTCAAACAGGGCGAAGGAGAGGGCTACGGTCCCTCCTGCCCTACAGAGTCTGGCTATAAAACTCTCCTGGCAAGGAGCTTGTGAACTGAAGGAAAATGAGCCTAGTTTTATCCCAGAGAACAAAACGTGTGTGTGTGTGTGTGTGTATCAAAGACCATTATATTTGGTTTTTTAAAAAGATATATTTTATTTGTAAGTCAGAGTTATACACAGAGAGAAGGAAAGGCAGAGAGAGAGAGAGAGAGAGATAGGTCTTCCATCCACTGGTTCACTCCCCAATGGCCTGGAGCTACGCTGATCCGAAGCCAGGAGCTAGGAGCTTCCTCTGGGTCTCCCATGTGGGTGCAGGGGGCCATGGACTTGGGCCATCTTCTACTGCTTTCCCAGGCCATAGCAGAGAGCTGAATCAGAGGTGGAGCAGCCAGAACTTGAACTGGAGCCCATATGGGATGCCGGCACTGCAGACCAGGGCTTTAATCCGCTGTGCCACAGCGTCGGCCCCGACCGTTATATTTGAAAAATACTTATTATCTTCTTGAGTTATAAATCTCAGACAAAATACTAAAGAAAAAAATAGATTTTTTTAGAGATCTTAAAAACCTTTTTGAGGGATTAAAAAGATAAGCAAATGTAGAGAGGAAAAAACACTCCATTTCCTTTAGAGGAAGCGTAAAAGGTGTGAAAGAACATTTCTCCTTTTCCCCCTAGATGTTGGCATATTTCTTTTTAAATAAGTAGTAGTATTTATAAACCTAACTATATCACATTAAGTTTTTTGTTCTTTTAGTTCATAAAAATTGAGATTGTAGAGTTGAGTGTTTGGCCAAGTAAAGATAACTTGTCCTTTACTGGAGGGCCTGGGTTTAATTCCCCACTCCAGCTTGACTCCAGTTCCTTGATAATGCAGACCCTGGGAGGCAGTGGTGATGATTTAAGTAACTGAGTTCCTGCCACCCACATGGGAGACTAGATTTGAGTTCCTGGTTCCCAGCTTCAGCCTGTGGACATCTGGGGAATAAACCAACTGTAGGAGCTCTGTCTCTCTCCCTCTCTGATTTTCAAACAAAAAATCAAAACCAACCATTGCACCACATAGAAGAAGTATTTCTTTAAAAACTAAAGAATGTGATGTGTGCTTTATGAGGCAGCTCTTTCTTGAACTGGGGAGGGGAGAAGGGCATGGAGAGTGTGGTAGGCTGATGATGGCCTCCAAGGCACACCTGTGTCTGACTCCCTGGCACCTGTGAGGATGACTGTACTTGTTAAAGGGTCTTTGCAGATGTAATGAAGTTAAGGATTTTGAGACAAGGCAATTATTCTGGATTATCTTGGTGGACCCTAATGCAGTCACCTGTGTTCTAACAGGAGGCAGGTAGAGGTGGACTAGAGAGAAGAGAAGTGGTAGGGGTTGGAGGGTGTGGTCACCAGTTGGGGAGTGTCAGTAACTGCCAGAAGCTGATGGGAGCAGTAAGCAGCTTTGCCAGCAACTTGTTGTCAGATTTCCAGCCTCTAGAACTGTAAGTGCCTACATTTCTGTTGCTTTTCATCCACCACCCTGCGGGTCGTTTGTTACAGCAAGCCAAGGGATTGGACTCAGGGAGGATGTACTCACTTCCACCTCATTTTCCTCGGCTGTTTCCAGGAATAGGTCAGGGCGGAAAGGTTTCATACTGTTGGCGTTTTCCACTCTGAAAAGCTTCTCTGAAGGGATAAGAATAATTCATTATTCTTATTCCAAGAAAGAACACAGCATGAAGAAATTGTGGCAGGGTCTGGTGATGTTGTAGTGCAGCAGGTTAAGCTACTACCTGTGACACCGACATCCCATTATAGTACTGTTGGAGTCCCTACTGCTCCACTTCTCATCCAGCTTCCTGCTAATGCACCCGAAAAAGCAGCAGAAGATGGCCTAAGTGCTTAGATCCTGCCAGCCTCATGGGAGACCCAGATGGAGTTTCTGGCTCCCACCTGGCCCCAGGCCACTTGGGTAGTGAACCAAAGGATGGGAAGATTTTCTCTTTCCCTGTCTATCAGTTTGCCTTTTGAATAAATAATTTTCTTTTGAAAAAAGTTGCAGCAAAATCTGGATTGGCTCACTGGCCCTGGATAGCTGTGCAGCCCAGGGAGTGTGAGTGTGAGTGTTGCAGAGCCTTGGCCAGTGCAAAACTTAGGTGTCCAGTGAATGAGTGACAGGTGGAGGGATTTTATCCCACTTAGAATCTAGAGTTTACTTTAAGGTTAGGCTACAAACTCTTCAGTTTTTTTTGTTTGTTTGTTTTCAAATATTTATTTATCTGAAAAGCAGAGTTATGGGATGGTGGGAGAGAGAAAGTGAGAGTGAGAGAGCAAGAGCGAGAGCAAGAGATCTACCAACTGCTGGTTCACTCCCTAAATGGCCGCAGTGGCCAGGGCTCAGACAGGCCAAGGCCAGGAGCCTGGATTTCATTCAAGTCTCCCACATCAGTGGCAGGGGCCAAATACTTGAACCATCTTCTGCTGCTTTTCCAAGTACATTAACAAACAGCTGGATGAGAAGTGGAGCAGCAAGGACAGCTAGGATCTGAACCCAGAGCTCATATGAGATACCAGTGTTTCAGGTGGCTGCTTAAACTGCTTTTGTTACAATGCTGGCCCCTAGGTTTTTTTTTTTCCTTCAATTTTTAAAGATGGTATTTATTTAAAATACAGATGGGTCCAGCATTGCGTGCTGCAGCAGGTTAAGCCACTGCTTGCAACTCCAGCATCCCATATTGGCATTGGTTCAAGTCCTGGCTGCTACACTCCTGACCCAGCTCCCTGCTAATGCACCTGGGAAAGCAGTGGAAGATGGCCCAAGTGCTTGGCCCCTACCACCCATATGGGAGACCCTAATGGAGCTCCTTGCTTCCTCCTGGACCAGTTACAGCAGTTGCAGCCATTAGTGGATGAAAGATCTCTCTCTCCCCCTCTCTGTGTGTCATTCTGCCTTTCAAATAAATGAATATTTTTTTAAATAGACCTCCCATTCCCTGGTCCACTCTCCAAATGCCTGCACAGCCAGGGCCAGGCCAGGCTGAAGCCAGCAGTGAGGAACTCCATGTGAGTCTCCTGTGTGGGTGACTGGATCCACCATCAGCTGCTTCCCATCGTATGCATCTGCAAGAAGTTGGAATTAGGAGTGAGGCTGGGATGGAACCCAGCTGTGCAAATGCCTGCCCCAGGTTACCAACCATTTTGAAATTCAACTCAGACACCATTGCCTTTCGTAGGCTCTCTCTGTTCAATACGCAACTCTTAGTCACTCTCCCTTTTCCCTAGATAATGAAAAGGTGGCACATTGTAAATGCTCAGTAAGTGAAGCCAGGACGACTGAAATGAAGCATTTTCCCCTAAAAGGACATGTGAACAAAAACCCTTCTAGATCATCTCTTAGTAAGAACTAAAATATGTATGAAGGTACTTCAAAAGGTTTATGGAAAAATGGAACTAAAGATATGACTTTTTATTTTTAAAGATGTATTTATTTGAAAGTTACACAGAGAGAGGAAGAGACAGAGAGGAGTGAGGGGAGAGATCTCCCGTCAGCTGGTTCACTTCCCAAATGGTCACAAAGGCCAGCACTGGACCAGGGCAACGCCAGGAGTCAGGAGCTTCTTCCAGATCTCCCATGTGATTGAACAGGATGACCTGGGCCATCTTCTGCTTTTCCAGGTCATTGTCAAGGAGCTAGATTGGAAGTGGAGCAGCTGGGACATGAATTGATGCCCATATGGGATGCCTGCATTGCAGGTGGTGGTTTTAACTGCTACACCACAATGCCAGCCCCAGATATGAGTTTATTTTGTTGCTAAAATGTTTGGTAGTACTGTGAAGAATGTCCTTGGAATTTGATTGAATCTGTAAATTGCTTTGGTTAGTATGGACATTTTGATGGTATTGATTCTTCCAACCCATGAACTAGGAAGATTTTCCCGTTTTTTTGTATCTTCCATTGCTTTTGTTAATGTTTTATAATTTTAATTATAGAGATCTTTCACATCATTGGCTAAATTTATCCCAAGATATTTAAAATTATTTATAGCTATTGTGAATGGGGCAGATCTTGTAAGTTATTTCTCAGAGCATTGCTGATTTATAAGAATGCTATTGATTTTTTTGTGACTTCCAAAAAGGAACACAATAATGCATTAATATTGGATTGTGAAGAAAAAGGAGATTAATAAAATGCCCCAAAAAGAACTCAGAAGATCAGTTTGCAATTCCAATCAAAAGTCCAAGACATTCTTCATGGAACTAGACAAAACAATCCTAAAATTCATATAGAAACATAAAAGACCCAGAATAGCCAAAACAATCTTAAGTAATAAAAACAAAGCAGGAGACATCACAATGCCAGACATACTGCAGAGTTATTAAAATCAAACAGCCTGGTACTGGCACAAATATAGATATGTAGAAAAATTAACAGAATAGAAACCCCAGAAATTAACCCATGCATACGCAACCAACTAGTCTTCAACAAACAAGCTAAAATTGTTTCCTGGAAAAAGGACAGTCTTCAACAAATAGTGTTGGGAAAAACTGGATTTCCAGAAATTTTAAAGACTCCTACTTTATATACTATACAAAAATCAACTCACAATGGAACAAGGATCTAAACCTAAGAGCTGAAACCATCAAATTACTAGAGAAAGACACATAGGAAATGCTGTAGGACATTTCCCGTAGGAATAGATTTCTTGCATAAGGCCCCAGAAGCACAGGCAATAAAAGCAAAAATGGACAAATAGGATACATCAAGCTAAGAAGCTTTCGCATAGCAAAAGGAAAGTAAAACAATTAACAAAGTGAAGAGGCAAATGACAGAATAGGATAATGGAGGCAGAACTGTGGCACAGAAGGCTAAGTCACAGCCTGCAGGGCCAGCATCCCATGCAGGAACTGGTTCCAGCCCAGCTGCTCTGCTTCCAATCCAGCTCCCTGCTAATGATCCTAGGAAAGCAGTGGAGAATGTCCCAGGGAGAGACCCAGAGGAGGTTCCTGGCTCCTGGCATCGGCTTGGCCCAGCCTCAGCCATTGCTGTCATTTGGGGAGTAAACCAGTGGATGGAAGATCTCTCTTTTTCCCTGTATCTCTGCCTTTCAAATAAATATTTTTTAAATGGGATAATATATTTATATTTGTAAACTATGTGTCCGATAAGGGATTAATATCCAGAATATATAAGGTGCTCAAGAAACTCAAAAATAACAAAACAAACAATCCAGTTAAGAAATGGGCAAAGGATATAAACAGGCATTTTTCAAAGAAAAAAATACAAATGGCCAAAAGACACATGAAAAATGCTCAGGATCACTAGCCATCAGAGAAATGCAAATAAAAACCACAATGAGGCATCACCTCATTCCTGTTAGAATAGCTACCCAAAAATTAAAAATAACAAACACTGCTGGGGTGTAGAGAAAAAGGTACCCTAATTCACTGTTGGTAATAACACAATTTGGTAACAACTATTATGGAAAACAGGGTGGGGATTTCTCAGAAAACTAAAAATAGATCTTCCAAATGACCCATTTATCCCACTCCTGGAAATACATCCAAAGGAAATGAAATCAGTATATGAAATAGGCACCTGGATTCCGATGTTTATAACAGCTCAAGTCACAACAGCTAAGATATGAAATCAACCTAGATGTCCATCAACTGATGACTGAATAAAGAAAATGTGGTGCATATACTTGATGGAATATTATTCAGCCATAAAAAGAACGAAATCCTGACATTTGAGACAAAATAGATGCAACTGGAGATCATTATACTAAGTGAAATAAGTCAGATTAAGAAAGACAGAATATCACATTTTCTCTTATTTGTGGAAGTTAATATATTTGGAGAGTATAAAAATTGTGTGGCTGTCATATCACTTGGCATGTAGTTATAAATATTGTTTCACTTAATCATACCATGTAAATGACAATACAGTCTCCTTTCCCCCACATTAAATAAATGCAGAGAAGGGGAACCATGAAGACTCTCAGGGTACTAGTAATGTTTTGTTCTTAATCTGGGTGTCAGTTATGAGTGTGCTAAGAGGACAAAAATTCATTTATCTGTACACTTGTGTGCATTTCTTGCTATGTGTACTTTATTTCAATAAAATGTTTAAATTAAAAAAAAACTTTTGGTGGAAAAACATTTCTTTCCCTAACACGTGAAAAATGCATATTTTTAAAAAGCCATGCATGGATTTCAAAACTTTTCTGGCTTCCAAATAAACTCATACTTTTAATTCCATTTTTCCACAAACTCTGCAGTAACTTCCTAAGTTGTCAGCCACGGTGATCTAGTGCAGCTGTCGAGCAGACTCCTTCTCTCATTGGAGTCAGATGGAAAGGGGGCAAAGGCAAGGTTAAATGATTTAGCAGTAAAGCTGACAAAGACACCTGGCAGCCTACATTGTCTTAGGACTTCCAGAACACATTAACATTTAAACCTTTCACACCCCTTTGCAGATGACTGATTGGGGTCTCAGTAAAACGGCAGGTGGAGGGGCTCAGGCCTACCATTTTGGTCCCAGCAACTCTGCGTGTAGAAGGTTTCTCTTCGCAGGATGATTTCCTGTGCGATGATCCCGTAGCTGTACACATCTCCTTTCTGAGAGGTCCTGGAGTGGCGGAGGTGCTCCGGGGCCATCCACAGGTCTGTGATGAGACATTTGGCTAAGAGGAGTGGTAATGGAGGCCTCTCATTCGCTCTTTTGTTCATTCAGCCTATACCCTCTACCCTGAATAGGGGCAGCTTGAATTGATGTGGTCACTTTTAAGGAGTTTATTCTAATGCATGGGACAGGAGGTAGAACACACATTCACTTTTTCAGCTGCTAGAGAAGTCCAGGATTTGAGTAGTATCATATGGCAATGTGTTCTCAAACCAAAAGGTTCATACTCCTGGAAACCCTCAATGTCTGTACCCAACAAGGCCCTGAGTATAGTAAGTGCTCAGTAAATATGTTAAATGACTGCAGTAGAATATGAGAGGGTGGGGAATTTAATAGCTATGGGGCATAGAGAATGAAACTATGAGCATTCTTACAAATTTTACCGATATTAAAATGTATGTAAATATATTTATGTGAATTATTTATATATATCAAATATATATTTTAAAAGATAAAGGCAGCACATTTAAACACAGATAATATCTTTGATATTTTCCTGGCATAATATACTGGTAGCCTCCAAGTGATCTAGTGTCTAGAGAGTTTTTTCCATTACCACAGTATTAAGACAAAAGCATGTCATTTACTCACATTTTACTACTGTCCCTGCCACTCCCTAATGCTTTTACATCTCATCCACATCACAACAATGAAAAGCTCCCGTGTCCTGTGTTCAGCTCCTACAGATACTTGTGTTTTGAACTTCATCACATATCTTGCTTAACAACAACAGGCATATGCAGTTAATTTTCCTTCAACATCCTTTGACATTTCTTAAGAACATCTATCTCCTTGTAAGATAATTTTCTCTAAGATTTCTATGGTCAGCAGTTTCAGTGCACAATGTATAGATTCATGATGTTAGGTAAATGATCCGTTTATGATGAAGCCCATTTTCCTCATTTGATTCTACATTCAAATGTATCTTGCTTTTTTTGTTGTTGTTGCTTAACGTTGACTTTTTGAATTCATTACTGAGAATTTGTGAGACTTAGGGCTCATGTACAATTGACCCAAAAGGGTTGAAGTTGTAGAAAATGTCAATAAATCTATTTATGCTAGAACTTCAGGGAACGGACTTCATGGATACATCTACAGAGTGAGGTTCAGGAGGACAGGATTTGACTTGAAATTCCTCTGATTTATGTTGTGGTGAGTCATCTAAGGAAGATTTGTCCTCCTACACATGGAGCATGCCCGGCACCCAGCAGGTCTTCAACAAGAACTGAATGCATAGACTCCAATATCACATTATGCTTGGCCAGACTGAGGAAGTAGCAGCAGAAATGTAAATTTTCTTTTATTAAGTAAAGAATTGCAAAGTAGAAACAATTTAGTGTTTGGATCTAGTTAGTATTTTGAGACAAAATGAGTGCTAGATTTCTGAGGCTGTTTGAGAGTTATCATAAATAGAGTAAATTTTGTACTTGAAATGCCCTTTATACCTTACAAATCACTTTTTTGTTTTGTTTTGTTTTGTTTTTTGACAGGCAGAGTGGACAGTGAGAGAGAGAGACAGAGAGAAAGGTCTTCCTTTTCTGTTGGTTCACCCTCCAATGGCTGCCGTGGCCAGCGCTGCAGCTGGCACACCGCACTGATCCGAAGGCAGGAGCCAGGTGCTTCTCCTGGTCTCCCGTGGGGTGCAGGGCCCAAGCACTTGGGCCATCCTCCACTGCACTCCCGGGCCACAGCAGAGAGCTGGCCTGAAAGAGGGACAACCGGGACAGAATCCGGCGCCCCAACCGGGACTAGAACCTGGTGTGCCGGCACCACAGGCGGAGGATTAGCCTGGTGAGCCGTGGCGCCGGCCTGCAAATCATGTTTCTTATCTTTTCTTTTGTTGTTTTATCCTCACCATGATCTTAAAAAGAATGAGTGAGAACACATTTTACTGTTAAGAGTTTTTCCTTATCATTGCCTATTACCATGGATAAATGAGTGACATCCAGAATGGAAAGTGGGACTTCCTTGTACTCTATCTTCCTGGTCAAATCTCTCAGCCTCTGAGTCTTAGTTCTTTCTTCTACAAAGGAAGATGGTTAGACTGATTGATCTCTATGGTCTCTTCCAGCTCTAACTTTCATAAGTTTTCACACATTTTTGCTTCCACAAACCAAGACATTCCTCATGATTTCTCATGGATAGCAAGGAACACATAGATGAAAACTAAAGACAATATCGTCCACAGAGGACAAGTATTTATTGAATGACAAGTATGAGGTGCTGTTGCCTCTTATTGCTCCAAGTATTAATTTTATGATCAATATCACCCAAGCACACTACATGGGGTTGAAATAATTTTAAAAGCCCAGGTGAGAAATTCATAAAAATTATTCATTTACAAACCTCTTTTGGGAGGTAAAATGGAATTGCAGCCAAAATCTGTGATCTTCACTACCATCCTACTGTCTACCACACAGTTGGTGGATTTCAGACGACCGTGGACCTCTGTTTTACTGGAGTGCAGATAGGACATCCCCTGGAAGTTTTCAGATGACAGGAAAACAAAGAAATGTGACACACTCAGCTGATTTGTTATTTTAAAGAAGGGACATTTGAAAACCATTTCAGCATGTAGTCACAGCATCAGATTTTAAATTTAGTGTCATTAATTTTCCTTAAGTTTTTTCCTCTATTTTATCTGAAAGACAGAGACAGACAGCTAAAGATCTTCCACTTTCTGGCTTACTCCCCAAATCTTGCAACAACTAGGTATGGGGCCAGGCTAAAGGCAGGAATCCAAAACTCATTCCAGGTCTCCTGTGTGGGTGATCCAGCCCTTGAGCTATGCACTAGCAGAAAGATGGAATCAGAATCAGAACTGGGGCTTGGACCCAGACACTCCAATACGGCAAGCAGGCATCCTAAGTGGTGTCTTAACCACTGTTCCAAACACCATTTCTCACTAATTTTACTTCAAAATTGTTGTTAAAGCCCAAATATTTGCCTGCACAACGTATCTAGTTTTCAAATCTATTTAGATGATAAAGTAAAAAGTCAGTTTTCTAAAAACCCCAGTTGAATAGTTGAATATAGTAGAAGGCAAAGTCTTTTCTTTTTTTTAAGTGTTTCTACTTCAATTTTTTTATTGAAAGGCAGAGGAAGAGGAATGTCTTCCATTTGCTGGCTCACTCCCCACATGCTCGCAAGAGCCAGGGCTGGGCCAGGCCAAAGGCAGGCGTGAAGAACTCAATCCAAGTCTCTCACTGTGGATGGCAGAGACCCAAGTATTTGAGCCATCACTGCTGCTACCTGGGTATTTATTTGCAGGAAGGTGGATGGGAGGCAGAATGGCCAGGACTCAAACCAGTGACTCTGATACTGAATTCAGGTACTCCAAACAAAATTAACCACTATGCCAACCACCCCCTCTACTTCACTTATTTTGTCTGTGATGCTGGGTATGTTCTAGTCTTCTGCCACCTCAATTTTAAAATATGAATATTAAGGCTTTTCTTTGTGAATGGAGGGACTGGGTTAGATTATCTCCTAAAATCGAATAGGCTTCATTCTATCTCAAAAATGAAATGTTTCATCCATTCTGTTTTCCAAAGGAAGCCTGTTCTGGGCTGTTGTGCTTCCCTCTGCTGGCCAGAGCTGTCACTGCAGGAACTAGTGTTTAGCCAGGATCACAGGAGTGAAATGATGTAGCAAATAGTTTTTTCAGAACTGGTTGTGATTTAGTAGAACTTTCAGCTAATTCAAGACTGCAACGAACAGCTCCCTCTCTGGATCTAGTTTTCTTCATTCCTTAATGAAGCCCTGGTCACTGGTATCTACTTCTTTGTCATATGATTCTGGGAACATAAATGTCCAAATTTATCATTGCTGTGTGCAAGACAACTGCCTGTATTCAATATTTTATCTTATAAAATTGGGTGCAGAGTTTTGCCCTGGTGGTTAATACACTGATTAAGATGGCCATGCCCCATATTGGAGTACCTGGGTGTGATACCCAGCTCTGGCTCCTGATGCAATTGTAGACCCTGGGAGGTAGCAGTGATGGCTCAAGTAGTTGAGTTCTTGTCACATACATGGGAGACCCGGACTGTGTTCCTAGCTCTTGGCTGAGGACCACTGTGGGCATCTGGGGAGTGAACCAGCAGATGAGAGCTCTCTCTCTTTTTTTACTGTCTATATGTTTTTTTTTTTCTGCCTCTTTGACTCAAATAAATACAAATTTGAAAAAAAAAATGGAAGATTCAGTTGTCTTCCTGGAAGTTTTATATGATTTTAACTTCTGGTAAATTATGAAAATGTGGGTCCCATATCCAGGGTACAAAGAATATAATATTAACAATTTTTTTTATTTGACAGGTAGAGTTATAGACAGTGAGAGAGAGAGAGAAAGGTCTTCTTTCCGTTGGTTCACTCCCCAAATGGCCGCCACAGCCAGTGCTGCGGCAATCCGAAGCCAGGAGCCAGGTGCTTCTTCCTATGCTCCCATGTGGATGCAGGGGCCCAAGCACTTGGGCCATCCTCCACTGCCCTCCCGGGCTACAGCAGAGAGCTAGACTGGAAGAGGAGCAACCGGGACTAGAACCCAGTGCCCATATGGGATGCCGGCACCACAGGCGGAGGATTAACCAAGTGAGCCATGGCGCTGGCCCCAAATAAAATATTAATAATACCTATATATATATATATGGAATAATTACTTGTACTAGGCCTTGTAGTATGTAGATACATTATTACATAAAGTCCTCACAACAACCCTATGACATAGCTTCTATTATTATTATCTTTCAGGTGGAGAAACCAATGCACATGAGAGGTTGAATAGCTTGCTAGATGTTTTCCTACATCTAATTTTCATATTTGTATGTGTGTGTGTGTGTGTGTGTGTGTGTGTGTTTTCATGGGTCTCTTACCTTAGCAATGTCATACAAGACGGAGATCTTAAACTCCCAGTCCATGAATGTGCCATCAGGGTAGGAAATTGTGTCATTTAAAACTTCCTGAATAGGAGGGAAGAGAAGATGAATTGTTATAAGTAATATACTGTGGAGAGATAATTAGGAGACAGAGAATGATCTTTAAATCATGAGCAGGTTTTCATGGACACAGAGGGTCACACATCATTTGATCGGAACACATTCTGAGAAGTGCATTGGTAGGCGATTTTGCCATTGTGTGAACATCACTGAGTGCACTTACATGTAGATGATCTAGCACAATAGCCTGCTGTACATGTTGGCTGTAGAGTATAGCCTATCTCTCCTGTGGCTATGATGAGCAAACTAACATGAGATCAAATCAAGCAGCAGAACATAGGATGCAGCCAAAAGACCGTGGTAAACCCAAGATGTCTGGAGCGGCTGCTGGTGTAACAGGGCACACTAATCACAGTAACTTTTCTTTTTAATGAAGTAGTGGGTGTATGCTCTAAATTAATGATTAAAAAGCATAGCACACAGGTAAAAGTTCTGGGAAAAATGGAATTCAAATATAAGTTTATTTTGGTGAAAAAAGTATTTGAAATTCACATAGGTTCATAGGTTTTTTTTTCATAATATACACTTTCCATTAACTTTTTGAAATATTCCCATATAGAAAACATATAAATCAGTAACACAGTCATGCATTAGCATGATCAAGCATTATGGCCTGTATGTGCATAAGGATATGAGCTGTACTTTTACATGACTGATAGTGCAGTGGCCTTGAGGACAATAACACTGCCACAAACAAGTGAGTAATGCATTGTGCTATGATGTTCTGACAGCTACATCACTAAGTAATAGGAATTTTTAGCTTCATTACAATCTAGAGACCACTGTCTCACCAAAAGGTCGGTATGTAGTATATGACTATATTGTTTTTCTTTTCCACATAAATATTGTGGCATTGACCACAAGTTGGTGAGCAGGAGATAGCCACAGCATCCCAAATCCCAGTTCTTCTTTCAGACAGGGATGGTAAAGGAATGAGAATGGGTTGGGAAGCCCGATTACCAAGTGGCTGCCCTGAATGCTCTGTCTCATCAAAACTGGACAAGTGTTTTTAATCAGGGAATTCAGCATCATCTGTTGTTTCCCAGAATGCACATTAGCAGGAAGTTGGAATCAGAAGCAGAGCTAGGACTCAATCCTAGGCACTCCGAAATGGGATGCAGGTGTCCCAACCAGTGGCTTAACTGCTATGCAAAATGCTTGCCCCTTCTCTTTTTAAAGATGATAACTTAATCATCATGAAATATTCTTTCACAATTAAAAGCATATTTTCACTGCCTTTTTTATTCCCATTGTTGTATCTTCATATGTCTCTACAAAATCATAATTAGAAGTAAGGGGCTTTTGTGTTATATATATGTGTGTGTGTGTGTGTGTGTGTTATGTATGTGTTATATATATATATATATATATATATATATATATATATATATATATTTTAATTCATGAGTATGGGGCCAGCACTGTGGCACAGCAGGTAAAGCCATAACCTTCAGAGCCAGCATCCCATTTGGGTGCCAGATCAAGTCCCAGCTATTCCAATTCTGATCCAGCTCCCTGCTAATGACCTTGGGAAGCAGTGGAAGCTGGCCCAAATGCTATGGCCCCTACACCCATGTGGGAGACCTGGAAGAAGCTTCTGGCTTCAGCCTAGCCCAGCCCTAGTCATGGCAGTCACTTGGGGAGTGAACCAGTAGATGGAAGATCTCTCTGTCTCACCTTTCTCTCTCTCTCTAACTCTGCCTTTCAAATAAATAAATCTTTAAAAATTAATGAATTTAAAAATCTATTTTATTTGTTTTATAATGATTGATATTTAAAAACTTATTTTCCTTAGATCATAGTTATTCTTCTAAATTTTGAGTACTTAGATTAATTTTTTAAAAGAAAGAAAAAGTAGCATTTAGGGTTATGATTTTTTTTTCCTTGAGGATAAGTTTGAGTTTATGCCATACATTTGGAAAGCTAGTTCTTTTTTTATAGTTAAAGCTGATTGAAAAATTAAAATTTCCAAGTGATTTATTTAACAAGTTATTTTTAATTTTCACTGAATTATTAATATTTAGACTTCTTTAAAGTTGCCAGAGATGCTGCTGGCACCAGTCTGTCTTTGTTGTAGGAGAGGACATGTGGTTATTTTACTTATTTTAAGAATCAAATAAAATTTTATTTGAAAGGCAGAGAGACATAGAAACAGGGAAAAATATGTTCCTCTACTGGTTCATTCCCCAAATGCCCACAGTGTCTAGGGCTGGGCCAGGCTGAAGCCAGGAGCCCAGAACTCAAGCTGGGATTTCCACATAGGTAGTGGGAACCCAAACCCTTGAGCTATCACCACTGCCTCCCAGCCTACATATTAGCAAGAAACTGGATTTGGAAGTGGAGCCAGGACTTGAACCCAGGCACTGCTATATGGGATATGGACATCCAAAGCCATATTCTGGGGCTGGAGTTGTGGCACTGTTGCTGGCCACCTGCAATGTCACCACCACATATGGGCGCCGGTTTGGGTCCTGGCTACTCTACTTCTAATCCAGCTCCCTGCTAATGCACCTGGGAAAAGCAGCAAAAGATGGCCCAAGGCCTTGGGCCTCTGCATCCATGTGGGAGACCCCGATGAAGCTCCTGACTTCCTGGCTTCAGCTTGGCTCAGCCCCAGCCATTGATGGCCAGTTGAGGAGTAAACAAATAGATAGAAGATCGATCTCTCTCTCTCTCTCTCTCTCTCTCTCTCTCTCTCTTCCTCTCTCTCCCTCCCTCTCCCTCCCTCCCTCTACCCCTTCTCTGTAATTCTGCTTTTCAAATAAATAAATCTTTAAAAATCAACAACAACAAAGCCAGAGTATCTTGATGTATGTGTGTATATATGTGAAAGGTATCTGAAAGGCTCAAAGCCCTCACAGCACAGGTCCAGAAACTGCTGAAGTCAAGGTGTAAATATTGCAATGGTCTTTAAAGCCACTGTTTTGGATTCCTTCCCATTTCCGCCCTTTCAATTCCTGCCACTGCTTGACACCTGATTGGCTTTTTGTAAATGAATTCTGCTTGACCTGCTGAACTATGTGATGATTTGATATTCCTGGGTTAACACTTGGTCTTTCCAGTGAACTTCCCATGAACTCAACATGGTTTCAGTTCCTCTTTCTACTTTGGACTTGCTCAGCTGGCCCAGGTTATCCTCTGCCCTTCACAACACAGGACGGGGCTGGGTATTTAGACAGCAGTAGAGAAGGTTGTATGAACAAGTTTTCTTATGTTCACTTGGTGCCATCATAAGAAATCATTAATTTCTCTTTTAATATAAATGCAAGTATTCAAGTAAAATAGAATCTATTTGTAAGTAATCATTTTTTTCCACTTCTGTTATTTTTTTTCCAAATCTACACTCCTTTTGCAAATATTTGTGGGCTTGTTTGTAAAGCTACAATAGGGCTGATTGGTAAAATCTGAGTGAGCTGGTATGGAACATATAGGGGCCCACCAACTTTTCCTAAAGACTCTCTAAAATTATTTCACTGGGTGAATAATTTAAAAGGTGTGTTGAATAGAAATACACCTATTTTTTTCTATGGTTGACTCCTTGGGAAATTGGAAATGTGGTTTCTTACCCGGAGGGATCCTCTCTCACAGTATTCGATCACCCCAAAGATCCTGGAATCAAGCTTCACTGTGCCATAGAACTTGGTCAGGTTGTAGTAGTCAATCTGAAGCAACTAGAATACGTTTGTTTAAGAAGTCAGTCACAAAGGAGTACTCGTGTTAATATGCCCAGAAAACATGCTCTGTTTTACATTTTGGGGAAAATGTATTGCTTTCATTAAGCTGAATGTCAGTACTCATTTCTTACATCTTACTCAACTGTCTTTTCCTTGTCACTAAGAGGATTTGTATTCATATTCTAGGACACATTTGCATATTTCCAAAATGTTCTATGTCACCAGACCTAACTCTCCAACATGTCTTAGTAGAATTTTCAATAAGACGCAAGGTCATTCATTTCTTGGCCTGTGAATTCCCTGTTAGCATCTACAATAACACCTCCCCAGGGACCCCCTGTTCAGAAGAAGCAGAGCAGAGCCAGTTCTGAGGGGCTGGAAGTAAGGAACACATACCTTGTTCAATTCTATCTTCTGTTTCTCAGTGAAATTACCATCGCTGTGCTTGAGATCTTTGAGAATCACTCGCTGCAAAGATCAGTTACATTACAGAGAAATTATTATAGTGTAATTCCTTATATGTATATTATAAGCTATTTCATGTCCTAGTAGATTGTGAGCTCTTGAGAGTGGTGACAGTATTTGATTGACATTTTTATTGTCGTACCTGGTACCTGGGATATGGTAGCTCAGATTTGAATGTTTCTTTAAGAATGACTAAATGGGAGGAAGGGAGGGAGGGAGGGAGGCAGGAAGAAGGAAGGGAGGTGCACGGATTGTCCTAGTTCTTAGCAACAGGACAAAAATCTAATACTAAAGTTGTCCTGACTGCTCTAAATCTCTTTTATCTTCCCTTTTCCTTCCTGCACTCCACCTTTCCCCCCAATTCTATTTTTCCTTTGATTTCTGCAGGGTTGTGAGTTTTGTGACCCTTGAAGCAGAGCCCTGCCCATCTCTGTCAAGCTCCAAGAACATGGAGCTTGTACCCAGAGCAACCTGGTTACCACCCCACTCCCATCCATTGTGCTGCCGGTATCAGGGGCTGGGGAACCATGGGCCAGAAGGCCAGAACACCCCGGTGACTGAGAGTTCCCAGAAGCAGGGGAAGCAGGAGTCACCTTTTTGTCATATTTGCACTGTCGTAGACTCTGGATTGTATCTCGTCGCCTGTCATCGTCAATCTGCCACAAAAAAAAAAACATCTGATTATTCCAGAAGCTCCATGACTGAGAGCCGAGAGGCTTTTCCAGGTGGGCTGGCTGTATTGTTTGCTCCCCAGAATGCTGGGCAGGCTCCCAGAGAAGCCACAGAGATCAACCTGTCTTTTTTGCTTATTACTCACCTTCTCACCCTAACACTGTCTTCTTGCCAGGGATCTGCAGCTCTCGTAATTGTCTAAGTTTTCCCCCTCCTTTGGGAGCATTATGTCAGTTGGGGCTTTTCTTTGCTTCCTTCTCCCCCTGCCCCTTCTAGTGGGAATTATCACCTGTAGCTACAGATGATGTTAGAGAAGGATGCGAATGAGGAACCTGGGCCAGGTTAAGAGGTGCAAGTCTCATCAATTCTGGGTTCAGACTGGAGTGGTCAGATCATCTGATCTATCCAAAGAAGCTGGCAGTGTGGATTCCTAAATGCTATCCTGTGATATTTATGTGTTGGCAATTAATTTTTTAAAAAAATGTTTAATGTTGAACATAGTGTCTCCCCCACAGAACCCTGTAGAGAAGATGCAGCTCTTGGCCTGCCTCTTAATGATTTCTGGTCTCAAGACAGAACACTGACTTTTTTTTTTTTTTTTTTTGACAGGCAGAATTAGACAGTGAGAGAGAGAGACAGAGAGAAAGGTCTTCCTTCCATTGGTTCACCCCCCACCCCAAATGGCTGCTACGGCTGGCACACTGCGCCAATCCAAAGCCAGGAGCCAGGTGCTTCCTCCTGGTCTCCCATGCAGATGCAGGGCCCAAGCACCTGGGCCATCCTCCACTGTGTTCCCGGGCCACAGCAGAGAGCTGGACTAGAAGAGGAGCAACCGGGACAGAACCAGTGCCCCAGCTGGGACTAGAACCTGGGGTGCCGGCGCTGCAGGTGGAGGATTAACCTAGTGAGCTGCGGTGCTGGCCAACAGAACACTGACTTCTAAAGAGTTCTCCTCTTTCTAGTATTAAAATTAGAGCTTTCTCCCACATTAACAGACTGCAGAAGAAAAACCATATGATTATCTCAATTGATGCAGAGAAAGCATTTGATAAAATTCAACACCCTTTCATGATGAAAACTCTAAGCAAATTGGGTATAGAAGGAACATTCCTCAATATAATCAAAGCAATTTATAAAAAACCCACAGCCAGCATCCTATTGAATGGGGAAAAGTTGGAAGCATTTCCACTGAAATCTGGCACCAGGCAGGGATGCCCACTCTCACCACTGCTATTTAACATAGTTCTGGAAGTTTTAGCCAGAGCCATCAGACAAGAAAAAGAAATCAAAGGAATACAAATCAAGAAGGAAGAAGTCACACTATCCCTCTTTGCAGACGATATGATTCTGTACTTAGAGGATCCAAAGAACTCTACTAAGAGACTATTGGAACTCATAGAGGAGTTTGGCAAAGTGGCAGGATACAAAATCAATGCACAAAAATCAACAGCCTTTGTATACACAAGCAATGCCATGACTGAGAAAGAGCTGCTAAGATCAATCCCATTCACAATAGCTACAAAAACAATCAAATACCTTGGAATAAACTTAACCAAGGACATTAAAGATCTCTACGATGAAAATTACAAAACCTTAAAGAAAGAAATAGAAGAGGATACCAAAAAATGGAAAAATCTTCCATGCTCATGGATTGGAAGAATCAACATCATCAAAATGTCCATTCTCCCAAAAGCAATTTATAGATTCAATGCAATCCCAATCAAGATACCAAAGACATTCTTCGCAGATCTAGAAAAAATGATGCTGAAATTCATATGGAGGCACAAGAGACCTCGAATAGCTAAAGCAATCTTGTACAACAAAAACAAAGCCAGAGGCATCACAATACCAGACTTCAGGACATACTACAGGGCAGTTGTAATCAAAACAGCATGGTACTGGTACAGAAACAGATGGATAGACCAATGGAACAGAATTGAAACACCAGAAATCAACCCAAACATCTACAGCCAACTTATATTTGATCAAGGATCTAAAACTAATTCCTGGAGCAAGGACAGTCTATTCAATAAATGGTGCTGGGAAAACTGGATTTCCACGTGCAGAATCATGAAGCAAGACCCCTACCTTACACCTTACACAAAAATCCACTCAACGTGGATTAAAGACCTAAATCTACGTCCTGACACCATTAAGTTATTAGAGAACATTGGAGAAACCCTTCAAGATATTGGCACAGGCAAAGAATTCCTGGAAAAGACCCGGGAGGCACAGACAGTCAAAGCCAAAATCAACTATTGGGATTGCATCAAATTGAGAAGTTTCTGTACTGCAAAAGAAACAGTCAGGAGAGTGAAGAGACAACCGACAGAATGGGAAAAAATATTTGCAAACTATGCAACAGATAAAGGGTTAATAACCAGAATCTACAAAGAGATCAAGAAACTCCACAAAAACAAAACCAACAACCCACTTAAGAGATGGGCCAAGGACTTCAATAGACATTTTTCAAAAGAGGAAATCCAAATGGCCAACAGGCACATGAAAAAATGTTCAAGGTCACTAGCAATCAGGGAAATGCAAATCAAAACCACAATGAGGTTTCACCTCACCCCGGTTAGAATGGCTCACATACAGAAATCTACCAACAACAGATGCTGGTGAGGATGTGGGGAAAAAGGGACACTAACCCACTGTTGGTGGGAATGCAAACTGGTCAAGCCACTATGGAAATCAGTCTGGAGATTCCTCAGAAACCTGAATATAAACCTACCATTCGACCCAGCCATCCCACTCCTTGGAATTTACCCAAAGGAGTTTAAATTGATAAACAAAAAAGCGGTCTGCACCCTAATGTTTATTGCAGCACAATTCACAATAGCCAAGACCTGGAACCAACCTAAATGCCCATCAACAGTAGACTGGATAAAGAAATTATGGGATATGTATTCTTTAGAGTACTATACCGCAGTAAGAAACAACGAAATCCAGTCATTTGCAACAAAATGGAGGAATCTGGAACACATCATGCTGAGTGAAGTAAGCCAGTCCCAAAGGGACAAATACCATATGTTCTCCCTGATCAGTGACAACTGACTCAACACCAAAAAGGAAACCTCCTGAAGTGAAATGGACACTATGAGAAATGGTGACTTGATCAGCATAGCCCTGACTGCTAATGGACAACTTAATACATTATCCCTCATAGTATTTTTTTTTGTCTGTTCTACTTAATATGACTGGTTTAATTCTGTAATTATCACACAGTTATTCTTAAGTGTTGAAAATTAACTGAAATGTGATCCCTGTTAAACATAAGAGTGGGAATAAGAGAGGGAAGAGATGTATAATTTGGGGCATGCTCGGGCTGACTTGCCCCAATTGGTAGAGTTGGAAACATACCAGGGGATTCCAATTCAATCCCATCAAGGTGGCATGTGCCAATGCCATCTCACTACTCCAAGTGATCAATTTCAGTTCACAATTGATCATAATGAAAGGACTAAGAGTCAAAGGGAGCACATAAACAAGTCTAGTATCTGCTAACACCAACCGATAGAATAAATAAAGGGGAGAGTGATCCAACATGGGAAGTGAGATACTCAGCAGACTCATAGAATGGCGGATGTCCTAAATAGCACTCTGGCCTCAGAATCAGCCCTAAAGGCACTCGGATCTGGCTGAAAAGCCCATGAGAGTATTTCAGGCATGGAAAGCCAAGACACTCTGGCAAAAAGATCTCTGTGAGTGAGATCCCAGTGGAAAGAACAGGTCTTCAAAGAGGGAGGTGCCTTTCTCTGAAGGGAGGAGAGAACCTCCACTTTGACTATGACCGTGTCTAAACAAGATAAGAGTCGGAGAACTCAAGGGGCTTCCATAGCCTTGGAAACTCATAACTGGTGCATAGGGAGATTACTGATGCCATAAACAGGAGTGTCAATTGGTAAAGTCAACAACAGGAGTCACTGTGCACTTACTCCTCATGTAGGATCTCTGTCCTTAACGTGCTGTACACTGAGGCTTAATGCTATAACGAGTACTCAAACAGTATATTTCACTTTGTGTTTCTATGGGGGTGCAAACGACTGAAATCTTTACTTAATGTACACTAAACTGATCTTCTGTAAAAAAAAAAAAAAAAAGAAAGAAAGAAAGAAATTATCAATTCCCAACTTGACTCTCACTGGGATTAAACATGACAATAGGTCAGATCTGATTTCATCATCATTTAAAAAAAATCATCTATTATTTTTCACTTTATGTTTCTGTGTGGGAGCAAACTGTTGAAATACTTACTTAAGGTATACTAAGCTGATCTTCTGTATATTAAGATAATCGAAAATGAATCTTGATGTGAATGGAAGGGGAGAGGGAGTGGGAAAGGGGAGGGTTGTGGGTGGGAGGAACGGTATGGGGGGGGAAGCCATTGTAACACATGAGTCGTACTTTGGAAATTTATATTCATTAAATAAAAGATAAAAAAAAAAAATTAGAGCTTTCTCAATCCCAGTTGTGAGTGCTACCTGATTTATGAATCACTTCTTGGTCAAATAAATTCTTAAATTTAATCTGTCTAAATCATCTAGCTAGTCATTTTGGTCAACAAATTCTGTCTTTAGAAACCCAATAGTCTATCAGTCATTTATGCCTTCCTGTGAATCTCTGCTACAAGGTTGATTTCATCCTGACACTTGTCTGAGACAGATTGGTCTTGGTAAAGAGAATGGCTGCGAGGTACAAAATGCAGCAGGAGGGTCATTTTGGAGCGTCTGGAATTTTAGAGAAAGGAAGGCCTGGTCCGTGTACAGTCAAAAGGGTGCTAAACGGAAGTATGCAGAACTCAGGGTACAGTGTCAAGACCTGGTAGGGAGGCTCCAGAGACAAACCCGGCTCATGCTGCATTTTTGTTCCTGCTGATTTAGAGCAAGAAGGCATCTCCAATCACACTGCTTTATTGGCTTGGCCCTATCCCAAGGATGGGGGATTGGGGTGTGAAAGTCCTAGGTCTCCATCTGTTCCCAGTATGCTTTGATAGAAAAGCCATGGCAATTATCTTGTTTATGGTAAGTGCTATGGCCTTAGGCATTGCAGTGAGAAAGTCTGAGTTCAGACTGTAGCCATGGTCCTGGAATTCCAGCCATGTTATCTCATGGGCCAGGGAAAGATGAAATGAGTCAATATGTTGAACCTGTAATAAGTACTCAGTCAGTGTAAGCTGTGGCAATTTGTAGTAGTCTTACTAGCTGTAAGTGACCTTGAACAGTCTTAATCCTTTGTCCTTCAGCTTCCTCATCCGTAAAGCGATGGTGATAAAGCTTGCTTCACAGATTCCGTGTGAATAGATGAGCAAACAGTTGGAGCGCTGACTGCAGGGGATGGGGGTGAGTGCTCATAGAGCTGCTCACACCGCCCAGTTGAAGGATATCATGGGCACCCAGCAGCAGACACCTTTAGCAATGAACAAGAAAAGTTATGGAGTCTCAGAATGGGCCTACTGGGACCCAAGGTTTAGGGAGACAACAATGTCCTGTCCATTCCTACATCTCTTTCAGGACAAGCTCCTGGTATGTCCAGGAGCATTTCTCTTCCAGGTTAGAGGCAAAGGATGAGTCATATCCCACCTCAGCGTCCACTGAGGTGTTTGCCGAGGTGATCAACTGGCTGGCATTTAGGGCAGTGTGGAATCAAGCAAAAGCTAAGAAGCCGAACATTAGAAAACCTGTATGGCCGGCGCCGTGGCTCACTAGGCTAATCCTCTGCCTTGCGGCGCCGGCATACCGGGTTCTAGTCCTGGTCGGGGTGCCGGATTCTGTTCCAGTTGCCCCTCTTCCAGGCCGGCTCTCTGCTGTGGCCGGGGAGTGCAGTGGAGGATGGCCCAAGTGCTTGGGCCTTGCACCCCATGGGAGACCAGGATAAGTACCTGGCTCCTGCCATCAGATCAGCGCCGGTCGCAGCGCGCTGGCCACGGTGGCCATTGGAGGGTGAACCAATGGCAAAGGAAGACCTTTCTCTCTGTCTGTCTCTCACTGTCCACTCTGCCTGTCAAAAAAAAAAAAAAAAAAAAGAATCCTGTAAGTCTCTGATTCGCGAACAAGCTATCCCTGCTTGGCACATTTTCTGCCACGTCCCCCAACTCTTGTCAAATACGCAGCAAATTTCATCATTCCTCGATAGGCAGACCTTACCTTCAGGCTGACTTGGTTGGTCTCGTTGGTCTCCAGAGGAAAGATATTTTCAGGAGGAATGTGGGACCATTTTTTCTGACGAAGTTCATGATCTCTTTTATATTTTCTGTGAAAAGAGTAGAGCCAGTCAACCGCTTTTTTAAGTGTCCATGCCATTCAGTTTCTGAATGCTGGGAGAAATTTAGAACCCTGGTACCCTTGTGTGGATGTGTGGTGACCGAGGTTAGCTCAATGGTGTAACTCCATGTTCTCCAGACTGGCAGGTGTGGGCGTTCAGGACCTGTAAGCATTTCTGCTGAGCTCTTCTACTCTCTTTTCTTTTTACTTTCCCAGGTGCTTCACTAAGGCAGCCCTTTACTGTAATATGGAATCTGAACTGATGGCATTTAAAGAGTGTGGAAAAAGATAAAACTGATAACCTTGGGAGACAAAAAAATTAATTTTTAAACCATCAGAGAATATACTAGATTCCCAGGTAAGCCAATTCCTTTTACTCAACTGTGTCTTTTTTTATTTTATTTTTATTTTTGACAGAGTTAGACAGTGAGAGAGAGACAGAGAGAGAGGTTACAGACAGTGAGAGAGAGACAGAGAGAAAGGTCTTCCTTCCATTGGTTCACCCCCCAAATGGCCGCTATGGCCGGTGTGCTGCGCTTATCCGAAGCCAGGAGCCAGGTGCTTCCTCCTGGTCTCCCATGCAGGTGCAGGGCCCAAGCACTTGGGCCATCCTCCACTGCCTTCCCAGGCCACAGCAGAGAGCTGGACTGGAAGAGGAGCAACCGGGACAGAACCAGTGCCCCAACCGGGACAAGAACCCGGGGTGCCGGCGCCACAGGCAGAGGATTAGCCTAGTTAGCCGCGGCACCGGCTCTTTCTAATTTTATTTTAGAAACAGAACAATGCAGAGACAGATATACACATACAGAGATAGAGAGAGAGAGAGAGAGAACACACTCCCCTCCACTGGTTTATACCCCAAATGCACATAACAATTGGGAGGGCCAGATGGAAGCCAGGGACCAATAACTCAATCCAAATCTACCACAAGTGTGGCAGCAACCTATTTACTTGAGCCATCACCACTGTCTTCCAGGGTCTGCATTGGCAGGAAGTTGAAGTCAGGAGTTAGAATCAGGTATCAACCCTTTAATGCCTTCTGAAGGCAATGCTCCCAGTGAGGTAGTTACTTCCACAAAGTCCTGTATCTTAAAGGTTCCTCCATCTCTTCATACTGCCACATTGGGGACCAAGCCTTTAGCAAATGAGCCTTTTGGAACAAACCATGGCACTAACTAAACCAGACAACAGTTTTCTGTGTGTATTGCACCTTTGGTCTGTGCCTCACTGTACTTTCTCATAATGTGAGTGCCTAGCCTGTCAATATTGGTTGAAGTTTTCTCTAGGAAAGGAAGTACATTGTTTTCTCCAACCTGAAGGCAGAGCTTGCCTCCTGTAACTTGTGTTGCTCGAAAATATAGGAGAGAGTCTATAATGTGTACTGATCATTTAGTCAAGAGCAAGCAGAAACCACAGCTTCTCTAAAAACAAAATCCAAATGGGTATCAACCTAAGGTAGGGTCAAATCATGAGATAAAAGACACTAACAGGCTTTTCCCACTGTCTCCAAGCATGAGAGGCAAAAGCAGGGATTCCCTACCAGCTAGAGCAATGATGTGTCCACAAGGAGCCTGTCAGATAAGTGTGATTCGTGTAGTTTTCCATTTCTGAAGCCTATTCAAGAAAAATAGCAAATGACTGATAGCATCGCCAAATGCAATATGAAAGACACTCAGCTCTACTGAGTACCCTGAGCTTCCTGGGGTACAGAAATGGGAGCCTGGGTATCTTCAAGGTCATGATACTGATCCTAGGTGCCCCCGTGTCGATTGACTGATCAATAATGTGTTATTATATGTACATTTAATAGAAGAATATTCAGAAGGATAGAAAGAAAATACTCATTCCTGCTTTGGGGACATTTGGAAAGGCATTATGAGTGACCTTGAAAAGGTGACTTGGAGTTCATGAAATGATGAACAAAGTAAGACAAAGGCAAACTCAGGATGAACAAATAGATCAATAGAAAAGAATAATGATACCAGAATCGACACAAGCCAGTGTGGGAACTTGGAATATGACAGAGGTGACATTAAAAGCCAGTTAGGAGATAATATTGGGACAGTTGACTTTCCAGACACAAAATATAAATTTAAAACTCTATCTGAAATGATATGCAAAGATAGGGTCTATCTCATGTGGAGTTTCAACTGTTATTGTTTTAAAGGTTTCAACAAAACTTCAAAGCTTTGAAGAAATTAATAGATAATGATGTTATGATCTCAGGTAAGGAAAGTAATTGTTGGGGCCGGCACTGTGATGTAACAGGTAAAGTCGCCGCCTGCAGTGTTGGCATCCCATATGGGCGCCAGTTCAAGACCCAACTGCTCCACTTCCAATCCATCTCTCTGCTATGTACTGGGAAATCAGTAGAAGATGGCCCAAGTCTTTGGGCCCCTGCACCTGCATGGGAGACCAGGAGGAAGCTCCTGGCTCCTGGCTTCGAATCTGCACAGCTCTGGCTGTTGTCATCTGGAGAGTGAACCAATGGATGGAAGACCTCTTTCTCTCCCTTTCTCCCTTTCTCTCTCTCTCTCTCTCTCTCTCTCTCTCTGTGTGTGTGTGTGTGTGTGTGTGTGTGTGTACCTCTGCCTCTCTGTAACTCTGGCTTTCAAATAAATAAATCTTTAAAAAAAACTATGTATATTTTGATGCCCATGCATTTTTAACAGGCATTTTCTATAAACTTTTGGGAGACCCCCTTGTACAGTGATTTTTTTCAGTTTTTCACAGTTTACCAGTGAAACAATAGAAACAGCTCTTTTCATTTAGATCATACTTATGATATGGTAGTCTTTATCCATGCCTCATTTCTAATCCTTACAGTGGTGCAGAGAAGAAATTGAAACCAAGAAACCTGCTGAAGTGGCTAAGCAGTGGATTCAGAGCACCCAACTGGCAAATCAGAGAGGTGGGACCTGAGTGCAGGCGTCTCTGCCCCAAAGGCTCCGTTCCATTCTTTCTAGCATTCTACTCTTTCTATGGTCCTTGATGGAGCATGCTGTTGCCGTCTTAGATCCGTCCAGAGGTCTCTTTATAAAATACGTTGTCATCAGCAGCCCTCAGACTGCCCCCTTCCCTCCACCATCCCTATCTGAAAGGTAAGCCCAGGCAGGATGGGGAACAGGGAGGCAGCACCTCAGCACCAGCAGGGCGATGAGCAGGAGCAGCACCACGATCCCCGTGAGTGTGAAGATGGCGATCAACATGATCTGAGGGCCTGTGAGGGAGACACAACAGGCAACACCCTGGTGAGGCTCTTGCAGAAGGGAACAAAGGAAGTGCAAAGCTTCTTGAATCATCATATAATTGGGAAAGTGAAAAGGGACTTTTTCTCCAAAGGCAGAGTTACAGAGAGGAGAGACAGACAGACAGACAGACACACACACACACACACACACAAACACAGATCTTACATCTACTGGTTCACTCCCCAAACAGATGCAATGGCTGGGGCTGAGCCAGGCCAAAGCCAGGAGTTTAGAACTCCATCTGGCTCTACCATATGGGTGGCAGTGGCCCAAGCACTCAGGCTACCCTCTGCTGTTTTCTCAGGGGCATTAGGAGGGAGCTAGGTCTGAAGTGGAGCAGTGGGAACTCAAACCAGCACTCATCTGGGATGCTGGCATCGTAAGCAGTGGCTGAACTTGCACCATACCACCAGCTGGAAAAGGTACTTGAAAGAAGCAATCATCTTCTATCAATCTCTTCATTGGTGATAAAGAAAGGTCCTGTGTCCCTGATCTCTGAAGAAAGCTGTCTGACGTATGTAGAGGAAAAGTGGGTTTGTTTCAGCTCTCCTCAGAGTGTAGTCATCTCTTTTCTTTCTAACAAGAATCATCAAATGTGATAAGAACACACATAATTTTGGTGGTAGAAGGCTATGCCAGTATGCCTAAGGAGGTTTCAGAGAGGGGAAAAAGCATCAACTTTTTAAAAAATATATTATTTGAGGGCCAGAGAAATAGAGCTCCCATCTGCTGGTTCACTCCCCAAATATCCGGAGCCTGAAACTCAATCCAGTTTCCCACACAGGTAGCAGGAACCCAACTACTAGAACCATCATCTGCTCCCTCCCATTTGTGCATTAACAGGAAACTGGGATTGGGAGTGCAGCTTAAACTCAAACCCAGGCACTCCAGCACTCCAATATGGGATGCAGGGGTCCCACTTGGTAGCTTAAGAGCTAGGCCAAATGCCTGCCTGAGAAAACTGTTTTTATTTTTTTTTTAATTTTTAAAAGATATCTATTTATTTGAAAGGTAGAGTTACAGATAGTGAGAGGGAGAGACAGAGAGAAAGGTATTCCATCCGCTAGTTCACTCCCCAGATGGCCCCAATGGCCGGAGCTGTGCCAGGAGCCAGAGCTTCCTCCGGGTCTCCCACGCGGGTGCAGGAACCCAAGGGCTTGGGCCATCTTGTACTGCTTTCCCAGGCCATAGCAGAGAGCCGGATGGGAAGAGGAGCAGCCAGGACTAGAACCAGTGCCCATATGTGATGCTGGCACTGCAGGTAGAGGATTAACCTACTGCACCACAGCGCCCGCCCCGAGAAAACTTTTTTTTATGATTTTTTTGATTTATTTATTTATTTGAAAGTCAGAGTTATACAGAGAGAGGAGAGGCAGAGAGAGAGAGAGAGAGAGAGGTCTTCCATCTGCTGGTTCACTCCCCAGATGGCCGCAACGGCTGGAGCTGTGCCGATCCGAAGCCAGGAGCCGGAGCTTCTTCCGGGTCTCCCTCATGGGTGCAGGGGCCCAAGGACTAGAGCCATCTTCTACTGCTTTCCCAGGTCATAGCAGAGAGCTGGACAGGAAGTGGAGCAGCCGGGTCTCGAACCGGCGCCCATATGGGATGCTGGCACTTCAGGCCAGGGCGTTAACCCACTGTGCCACAGCGCTGGCCCCAGAGAAAACTGTTTTTAAATACAAGGCACATATGGGGAGTGTAGAATTTAACAATGACAGTGTTGCACGCTGGCTCCTCCCAGATCTCTAGGTTACTGAGAGAAGTCAAGGAAGAATGTGCTCTTAGTTGTTGGAACACTACAGTGTGGATAGAGTTGTGAAACTACAGTAAGTTGAGATACTCTTAGAAAAGAAAATGGAATACAACAATATGTGATTCTAACCCAAAGAAACACTGAAGCGGAGTCTGAGTATATAAAGGAATGCCTAGTTTGAGAAGGCCAACAAAAATATTAAAACTATGCTTCAAAGTCAAGGCACATATGGGCCACAACAGGACCCTGTTGGAATAGGAAGTTAGTGGACTCAAGAATTAAAAATGCAACAGATGTCAAGCAGTAGAAATAGAAGTTGGAAAATAATGGCAATATGGTGAAGAAGACATGTTTTTCTTACAGCAGGAAAAAACAAAGAAACCAGAAACTCGAGAAAAATGTTCACGGAAGGTATAGTCCTACAATGAAACAAAATAAAATGCAGCCAAGTTTTGAGAATTGGGTATTATGAAAAAGGATCCATCTGTGTGTGGTGTGGGGGTACAGAAAACATTTGGCGTGTTTTGTGGTTCAAAAGGGGGACAATGGCACTATGTAGGAAGACATGTTATAGCATAATGTTTAGCTTTGTAGAAATAATATTTTGTATTCTAATAATAAGGAAAATATTTACTAGTTTTCAACTTGTAGAATCAACTTATCTGTAAAGGACAGAGGGCTTTATTATGGTTACCAAATGAATATTAACCATACCAAATTAAAGAAGTATTCCAGGATGAGAGTCATTTGGCCTGGTGGTTAAGCCACAGGTTGGAATGCCTGCATCTCATGTTAGTGGCAGTGGCTAAGTCCCTGTGTGGGAGGTCTTGACTCCTGGCTTCAGCCTGGCTCAACCCTGCCTATTGTGGGCATTTGGAGAGTGAACGAGTGGTTAGAAGCTCTCTCTCCGTTTGTGTCCCAAATTAAAAAAAAAAAATTTAAAAACAATTTATGAAGTGGAAAGGTGGTAGAATGAAGGATTAAAGGCACTAAGAGCCTCATCTTTTTAAGTAGGGGAGCAAAACATTTTATATACAATTGATAGATTAACAATAGAAGCTCATATGTAGAAATTAAAATGATAAAGACATCCAAAGAGTGTACTGACAAAGAAGATATAACTATATTGGGAAGAGGTTAGAAAGAAGAAAAGCTAATTAAGATTAACTAACTCTTCATTTATCAATACAAAAAAATAACTGGATAACATCTAAAGTTCATAAGTCAAGAAATTAAAGCATGTTATTTGGAGACAGGCAAAGAACTAAAAGCTGAAATGACCGAGATTCTGGGGGTGCAGACTTGGGAATACACTTTCCTAATGAATATCTGTACTCCTGGATTTCAAATTATGTGCATGGGCCGGCGCTGTGGCTCACTAGGCTAATCCTCCGCCTTGCGGCGCCGGCACACGGGGTTCTAGTCCCGGTCGGGGCGCCGGATTCTGTCCCAGTTGCCCCTCTTCCAGGCCAGCTCTCTGCTATGGCCAGGGAGTGCAGTGGAGGATGGCCCAAGTGCTTGGGCCCTGCACCCCATGGGAGACCAGGAGAAGCACCTGGCTCCTTGCTTCAGATCAGCGCGGTGTGCCGGCCGCAGCGCGACGGCCACGGCAGCCATTGGAGGGTGAACCAACGGCAAAAGGAAGACCTTTCTCTCTCTCTCTCTCTCTCTCTCACTGTCCACTCTGCCTGTCAAAATAAAAAATCAAATTATGTGCATGAATTATCTTTGCTAAAAACACAGTTAATAAAGGTGCACTTGAAGAGACACCAAGACCTCTTTATTTAAGGAGAATGCTACCTTGTACTCAGGGACCATGGTACCAACTCTGGCAGGACATGGTCTGTGTCCAAAGTGTTCAGTCTTATGTCTGTAGTACTCAGCACATGACCTGGTACAGTATCAATAAGAATGGCAGAATAAAATATAATTAAGTCAAATCTTGACCTTGCTCAACTTAATGTTTGAGAAAATGGGAGGAAAAAAGTGCCCATATATTAAAATACATAAATAGGCCAGTGCCGCGGCTCACTAGGCTTATCCTCCACCTGCAGCCCCAGCACCCTGGGTTCTAGTCCCAGTCGGGGCACCGGATTCTGTCCCGGTTGCTCCTCTTCCAGTCCAGCTCTCTGCTGTGGCCTGGGAGTGCAGTGGAGGATGGCCCAGGTCCTTGGGCCCTGCACCCACATGGGAGACCAGGAGGCGGCACCTGGCTCCTAGCTTCGGACTGGCACAGCGCGCCGGCCACAACGCGCTGACTGTAGCGGCCACCTGGGGGGTGAACCAATGGAAAATGGAAGACCTTTCTCTCTGTCTTTCTGTCTCTCTCTCTCACTGTCTAACTCTGCCTGTCAAAAAAAAAAAAAAAAAGGCATAAATAAATTCAACAAACTTGTATTCCATTTGACCTAGCTCACATGTTGTATATGCATTTCTAAACTATGTTTGTTTCATTACTCATGTCCTTCTAATGAACGAATCATTTTCCCTGAGGTGGGGTGTTTAGCTTGGAAATACTGCAGCACATTCTCATAACGGATGGATTTGAAGAATTTATGGTTTGCTAACATGTGACTTTGCCTTTGATGATGTATTATGTTGTTTTGTGCTAAGAGGAAAATTCCAACACTACAAATGTAAGGTATGAATTGCTACTCTTGGCTGGGCAGAAATAAATTCATTTGTTGAGGTTGAAGTTGCACATGACTTTTGTGAATTCTCTTTGTCACTGCAATCAATGGTGAGACCACCATTGCCACTCTCACACCCCAAACTCTAGACCCCCCCAAAAAAAATGTGTTTCAGAAATACAAGTTAACAGTGCAGGTAACTCCACTCACCAACCTGCTGTAATTGCACATCCCTCAGACCAGAGTAGGAACTGAAGGGTATATGGTATACTTCTTATACCATCTCAATTCCTGCCTCCCACAGTGTGAACATCTCACTGCACGGGACCCAATTATAATAATCACAAACTGTATTTCAGTACACCATCTCCTACTTAAATATAGTAGTTTTCAATTCAACACTTTATTTTGTGTTAGCTAAGCTGCAGTTTCTCATTAGTTCTAAGGTTAAGCTTATGCTGCCTTCTGGTGGCTACTGTGGTTATCACATTCTATTTAATCCATTTCACAATTAATGTAGAATGTGTTTATAATCCTAGGGTCATATGACATTATATTCATTGTTGGAAGGAGTGTGTTAAATCTAATTTAACAGAGAAAGGAACTCACAATTAGAAAAGAAATAAATGGACTGAAATTAACACAAGGTAGATTAGTGCTGGAGTCCCGAGTGGAAATTCAAGTTATTTGAATAACTGTGATAGTTATTTATGGTTATCTCATTATGTCATTCATTAATTTATTCATTAGGTCCAAGGAACTATGTTGGAGAAGGAGATATGAATAAAGAACGGACCTTAAAAGTACATGACATAAAAAGACTTGTAAACAGATAAGTGTGATATAAGTACTGTGCAGGAAGTCAGGTCGGGTAAGCACAACCTTAATAAACTTTTGAAATGCTAAGCAAAAACTTAGACTACAGGTAAATCTTCATGAGTGGTTGTTTACCAGTTGTGCAGGGGAATGACAGGAAGTGGCATACAAAAGACCTGTGGCATAAAGCTGCAATATCTCTTTAAAGAAATAGGAGGACGTTGAGAGAGTAGAGAAGGGATTTCAGGAAGATGAAAAATAAAGCTAGAGAAGTAGAAAGACAGGGGATGCTTTGCGTTATGTTCAGTCATTGGGACTTTATTCTGTAGGTAAAGTGCTGCTAGACAGAGTTTAGCACCAGTGCAGTGATGCAACTGGATTTATGCTTCATGCTGGTGGCAGTGTGGGTTGGACTGGAGGCAGGCAGGACTGAAGCGGGAAGTCAGCTGGACATCATTGCTGTAATCCATGAAGCAGATGATGAGGGCTCCCGTGAGGACAGGAACCAAATCTGCACTGTTCTTTGCTGTATCCCAGGCACCTGGAACATTGTCTGGTACTAAGTCTATCTTTGTTAAATCAAAGAGTGATGGTGAAATGTTCCTTTATTTAGTTTGCAGTTATGTACAGAGAAAAAAAAACAGGCATGCATATTTTACTCACACACTATTGGAGAGACTGAGTTGCTTTATTTGTAAAGTTTACAACTAAATGTAGTAACAGTTAAGTGATGAAAAGCTCTGGCTAACTGAGTTTTCTGGTTAACTGAGGATGAAATGAAGTTGTTTAGGATAATATAGCCTCATAGTATTAATATAAATATTTGATGCAATCTCTTTTAAGTATGTAACAAATGCTTTTGATAAGTTTGCACTTTACAAATCAGAACTTCGGATAGCTAAAATTTACAAATCTACCATAGTCACTGAGAACTATAATTAAAGAGCAAAAAGTTAACTCAAAAAGTTACAAGATGGGGCAGGCACTTTGTGTCGTATTTAAGATACTGATCAGGATGCCCATGTCTGACATTGGAGTATCTGGGTTCAATTCCCAGCTCCAACTCCTGATTTTAGCTTCCTACTAATGAGAGGCAGCAGGTGACGGCTCAAATAATTGAGCTCCTGCCGTTTTCAAGGGACACCTGAATTGAGTTCCTAGATTCAGCTTCAACTCTGAGGCATTTGGGGATTGAACCAGTGAATGAGAGTTCTCTCTCTGTCTCTGCTTCTTAAATAATTTTTAAAAAAAATTACAAAAGGAAGACAGAGTTGTAGAAGCCCATGAGAAAAGAGATGTTTTTCCAAAATCAAGTTTGGTTGAAAAATAAAGACAGATGATGACTTTAAAGATAATAAATAGGCTCATTAAATAAAATGAGCTTTAAAAAAGCAATGATAGCAGTAAATATGAAGTCAGCTCAGGATGGGTCATTGTCTGGAAGAATATGATTCCTTCCCACCACCTTGTCAACACTCTCTTAAGTCAGCCACTAATGACTATGAGATAAAAACATAGGAATCATTTTTGGACCAGTTTTGACTCATGGAGGAGAAGAGGACTAGAAACAGTTACAGTTTTGATACAAGCAAGCCTGTCGAACCAGAGACGCTTCTTTCATTGGGTCAAGTTTTCAGTTTCTGGCTGTGCAGCTGGTCTGGAATAGAAATGTTCCTAGCCTATAATTTTTTTAAGATTTATTTATTTATTTGAAAGGCAGAGTTACAGAAAGGAAGAGAGAGAAAGCGAGCTTCCATCTGCTGTTTCACTCCCTAAATGGCCACGACTGAAGCTGAGCCAATTCGAAGCCAGGAGACTGGAACTTCTTCCAGGTCTCTCACATGGATGCAGGGGCGCAAGGACTTGGGACATCTTCTGCTTTCCCAGGCACATTAGCAGGGAGCTGGCTTGGAAGTGGAGCAGCTGGGACTTGAACCAGAGCCCATATGGGATGTTGGCACTGCAGGTGGTGGCTTTATCCACTGTGCTATAGTGTCAGCCCCAGCCTATAATTTTTTAATACTTCGAAAAACTGAGAACCTAATTCAGAGTCTTTGTGGAAAATTTGGAAACTTCAGAAAAATATAAAAAATCAAGAAAAGCTTCCAGGTTTGTATTTCTTAGAAGCTGCTACTTTTAGAATTTTAACATAATTCTTTTCAATATTATGTCTTTGCATTGTTTTACAAAGTTAGAATCCTGTTAAAAAACTAAATTTTTCATTACTTTACATAAGTTTCCTAACATTACTATTTTTAATTGATTGCATGGTAATTCATTTATGAATATATCATGCTTTTCTAAGTAATTTTACTAATGTTTCTTTTTTTGCAACTTTGGATATAAGTATTTGCTTAAATTTATAATTTTCCTAAAGATATATTAGTAACATGGATTCTTATTATCCAGAAGGGTAAGGCCTGGATATGCCAGTTATGGACTGTCTTGAGCCTTCTTGCCCAGGAGAAACCTCATAGGCCCTACTTGCTGATGGATGGTCAGTGACTCAGGGTTGCATTGCCAACTTGCATTGTGATGGCCTGACCATGCCAGGGCTTCTTGTGACATGATAGAACCTCATCTTAAGTAGGGGATAAAGCATCACTGCAATTCAAACTTGTGTCCCGTGAAGGAATGGGGAAAACTTTGGAGGCCGTGATCACGGATCACCCCTCAGCCTCGAGTAGCCAGCGCTCCTTGCTGAGATATGTGTCTCTTGAGCTTATTGCAACAAAATGTAAATGGGGCAAGAAAATATGCCTCTGTGCCCATTTTTACCAATTTTGAAACCTAGTTTTCTATGGAATAGTAGAGTAGGACACATTTTAAAGAGGAGTATAGGGACTAGTGGGTAAAGCTGCCACCTATAAAGCTGGCATACCATATGGGCAACAATTTGAGTCCTAGCTGCTCCACTTCCAATCCAGCTCCCTGCTAATGGCCTTGGAAAAGCATCAGAAGATGACCCAAATTCTTGGGCCCCTGCCACCCATGTGGGAGACCAGGAAGAAGCTACTGGCTCCTGCCTTGAGCCTGGCTCAGCCCCTGCCATTGTGCCATTTAGGGAGTGGACCAGCCGATGGAAGACCTCTCTCTCTGTTTCTCCTTCTCTTGCTCTCTTTCAAATAAATAATTCTTAGAAAAAGAGTATAGCTAAATTAGAATGACTTTTTAAAAGATTTATTTATTTATTTGAAAGGCAGAGTTACAGAGAGGAAGAGTCAGAGAGAAAGAGAGAGAGAGGTCTTCCATCCGCTGGTTTACTCCCCAGATGGCCACAATGGCCAGAACTGTGCCAATCTGAAGCCAGGAGCCAGGAGCTTCTTCTGGGTTTCCCACGTGGGTGAGGGGGTGGGGAGGGGATGTGCGGGGGCCACGGACTTGGGCCATCTTCTATTGCTTTCCCAGGCCATAACAGAGAGCTGGACTGGAAGTGGAGCAGCCAGAACTCGAACCTGCGCCCACATGGGATGCTGACACCACAGGCAATAGCTTTACCGACTATACCACAGTGGGTTGAGCTGTGGCCTGTGATGCCAGTATCACATGTAGGTGCCTGTTCATGGCCTGGCTGCTCCACTTTCAATCCAGCTCCCTGCTAATGCATCTGGGAGAGCGGTGGAGGATGGCTCAAGTGCCTTGGCCCCTGCCACCAACTTGGGAGACCAGGAAGAGTCTCCTGGCTCTATTGCAGCCATTTGGATGGTGAGCCAGCAGAGAGAAGATCTCTCTTTCTGTCTTTCCCTCTTGTCTCCATGTAACTCTGCATTTCAAAAAATTAATTAATTAAGATATTTTGAGTGTTGGATCACAGCTGCAATATCATTAATTGCACACAGAAGTCTATATTTATAAACCAGCAAATCTAGCTGACACAATAAGCTAAACACAGACTAACTGCATAACCTTTAGGGTTTGCTCTCCTTACCATCAAAACAATTTCAGGTAATGAAAATTCACTAAGGTATCTTACCCCGACCCGGAATATCATTAGGAAGTTTGTGGTTCTTCCAGACGAATGTGGGGCTCATATCCACTGGGATAGTGTTATTCACGCGAGTGTCATAAGTCAAAAGAACCTTGAACTATGTCAGCATGCAAAAAGAAAAAAGAACAGAAAAAGACATTTTAGAAAAACTTCTGATGGGATTGACTATCTTGCCCAGTGGTACTTGAGTTTCATAACACTTCTCAGTGAAACAAGGTAATTATTAACCAGTTCAGAACTAGTTAGGATCTTCTCATTGGTACGTAGCATGAGTACGGATTTAAATTCCTGGTGCGCCTATTCGTTTTCTATTTCTTTATGACCATGTACTTTACAGTTAAACCCTGCCCAATGCAGAGTCTTTAGGTCTTGAGAGAACTAGTTCAAGTCTTTCATTTTATCAATGCTAAAATAGAAGCCAAAAAATAGTAAATGGCTGGCTCCAAGTCACATGGCCAAAGAAGCACCAGTGTCTTACATAACATTTAAGTTGCTTTTAAAAACCTTCTCTGGAGAAAAATGCACTACTGCTAAAAGCCATTATATCACTCTGATACATGTCAAGGGGCCTTGAAATAATGCTGCATTTTTAAAATTCTATCAATTACCTCATTTTCTAATCTCTCTTATCCCTTTGCTCTAATGTGCTTTCTGTACATGCCATTTAATTTGGTTTGTATAAGAGGTTTCTTTTCTAAGTAATCTGCTAATGGAAATATTAATAAATCTTCAAATTACTGCTGCATTTATTAAGTTTTGTAGAAGAGAGAAGCAACAGAATATGTCATTGAAATCTTTAGTTGTAGAAATGAATAAACAATCTTTAGCAAAGACTTGTTATCCCATCTTTTTATTAATTTATTTGGATGGCTTAACATATATATTACAGTGAATATTCAGAGTAAGAATTCTACTTAAGGAATACTACCCCAATATAAGGCAGAATTTTAAAGCTAAAATGAACTATCTCAGATTGTAAATAACCTCTTAGACCAGGCATTTGGAGCAGTGGAAAAGATGCTACTTGGGATGCCCCTACCCCATACTAGAGTGCCTGGATTTGATCTGACCTGCACTTTCAATTCCAGCTTCTTGATTTATGTGCATCCTGGGAGGCAGCAGGTGATGGTTCAAGTACTTGTGTCCCTGCCAACCACATAGGTGATGCTTTAGAAGCTGCTGACTCTGGCCTGGGCCTGACCCTGCCCTAGGTGTTGTAAGCATTTGGGGAGTGGATGAAAGTTCTCTGTTTTTAAGTAAAGTAAATAAAAATTTAAAAGATATTCAAATAAATAAACTATTCCTTCACTGTTGCTCCTCTTCAAGTTATCCCTCCTCACCCAGATTACCACATATTTTCTGATAAGCAGTAGGATGTACTTTCTTGGTATCCACAGAAGTATACAGAAGTATCATAGTAGTGTCAATATCCCCACAGTCGTCCAGAGTCACAGGACCCGTATACCCTAGGACAAATCCAGAGAGCGTTAGAGGTCATTGTTAATGTTTTACCTGACAGGTGGAATTCTGACAGTGTATAATATAGGTTCACATGAATATTTCATATTTAGTGAGAAATTATTACCCTTAATGGTCTAATCAGAGGATACTTAGATTGGTTTTTGACCCTGAGATCTCTGAAGAGTATTTTTATGTCAGTTAGTGTTAGTCAGCAGAAAAAACGTATTTTTATTTCACTTAGAACAGCAATAAATGTAACCAGAGAATAAACTTCTCAATTATTAGTGATGAATCTTTGCTAAAAATATTTACTAAACTGGTAGCAATCTGTAGATCCCTGTATAATCTAAATTACATTGTAAAAAGATCAAGATCTCTTCACTATCACTTATTGACTGAAGATATAAAACATCACTTAAGTTCTCTGAATTCCAATCTTTTATCTATGACATAATAGCAATATAGGATAGACATTTGAAATGGCTGTTAAGGTTAAATATGACTAAAACATCAATTTTTTTTTTGACAGGCAGAATGGACAGTGAGAGAGAGACAGAGAGAAAGGTCTTCCTTTTCCGTTGGTTCACCCTCCAATGGCCGCTGCGGCTGGCACGCTGCAGCTGGCACACCGCGCTGATCCAAAGCCAGGAGCCAGGTGCTTCTTCCTGGTCTCCCATGCAGGTGCAGGGACCAAGGACTTGGGCCATCCTCCACTGCACTTCCGGGCCACAGCAGAGAGAGGGACTGGAAGAGGAGCAACCGGGACAGAATCCGGCACCCTGACCGGGACTAGAACCCGGGGTGCTGGGGCCACAGGTGGAGGATTAGCCTATTGAGCCGCGGTGCTGGCTAAATCAGCAATTTTACATGGTTCAATGTAATAGATAATACTTATTTCATATTTACTAAATACTAGACTGAGCTAAATGTTTTATATGCATTGATCACTTTATTATCCCTGGAATACTAGGATACAGACACTATTATTGACTCTATATTATTGATGAGAAATTATTGAAGTCAGAGATGTTAAGGAACTGGTCCAGGGCATTGTATGGTTGGTGGGTGGCTAAACTAGGACATAAGCAAATATCTCCTGGCTCTCAGCCTGGGACAGTGGCCACTGGGAAGCCTGACCATGACCATGGATGTGGGAACATTAGGAATGCACAAATCATGGCTGGCAGAGCTTGGGACACAAGGAATGATCATTAAATACTTGTCCTGCCGGCGCCGCAGCTCACTAGCCTAATCCTCTGCCTTGCGGCGCCGGCACCCTGGGTTCTAGTCCCAGTCGGGGCGCCGGATTCTGTCCCGGTTGCCCCTCTTCCAGGCCAGCTCTCTTCTGTGGCCCGGGAGTGCAGTGGAGGATGGCCCAAGTACTTGGGCCCTGCACCCCATGGGAGACCAGGATAAATACCTGGCTCCTGCCATCGGATCAGCGCGGTGCGCCGGCCACGGCGGCCATTGGAGGGTGAACCATCGGCAAAGGAAGACCTTTCTCTCTGTCTCTCTCTCTCACTGTCCACTCTGCCTGTCAAAAAAAAAAAAAAAAAAAAGACATAAATACTTGTCCTTCCCTTCCCACTTCTGCAGGGGTATGGAAACGACCACTTCCTGTTATTGTCACACACCACAGCCATTGGTGCAGCCCTCAGAACTGATGCCAGCAGAGGAAGCCAGCAGAGGAAGACGCATCCTGTGGGAAAACAAAGGATTCCCATAGGAAAACCATAAGGCAACTTAGAGAAGGTATCTATCATTTGTCTGTTACTCAGTAGACAGTACATTTAAAAGGAATTTCCTTCATAATCTCAGGATGAAATTTGGAAAAAATGAAAGATGAGAGTTTCAGTAGAGGCTCCATGGGAAAGGCAACGCAGATGCGTGTGGTTCAGAGGGGAGAGGGGTATGTGTTGCCTTGGAATCATTAAAAGTTTTATTAGAGGCTTAACAGTCATGGTTTCTACCCTTGAAGAATGGGAGATGTGGAGGAAACAAAATCAAACCGCAGATATTTCTCTTCTTGCTAGCTTCTAAGCATAGCCTGGGTGTCACCTAATTAGAATGTCCTGGAATCAGCTTGTCCATACATCCAAGGCCTGAGCTCCTTGCTCTTTCTATGATATCCAAGATTCTGAAAGTCTGCAGCATAAACTGGAGTCCATATATCAGCAATGGCATCCCCAAAGTTTATGTAACCATGTTTGCCTCTATGGAATTGAAAGGTCTTTAGCCGTTGAACCATGTATTGCTACATTCATTCTTGGTTTCCCAAAGTCCATTCACAAAGCCCAATCTCTACAACTTTGTTATTGAGTGCTCCTAGGAGACCAGTACCTTGGAATGTGAGGTTCCTGAAAGCATGAGCAAATTTGGAGGTGGTAATATTTTCTCCATTTTTAAGAAAAGTCTTCAGCATGTGTCCAAAGAGCAAGGTCCCATCCAAGTAAGCAAGAGTGAAGTCATTTCTTGCCTGAATGAGGAAGGGAAATCTTAAAATAGGTTCAAAAAAGAGATTTAGGTCTTGAGCCTGGAGTGAAATGATCTTGGGGTCAGCTGGGTAAAGTGGGAAAGTAGGGGGACATGTGGGGAATTGGAGGGATGGGTGGTGGTAAAGGAGACTTCTGGAAAGTCCTTCCTTGGGTCAGTGCTCTTTATTACTCATGTCACAGTTATGCCGCCTTTTGGGATCAATAAAACAAGAACACCGCCTTTAGGGCAGTAATTCCAGGCAGTTATACTTCCTTCCTATGATAAAATACATAATTGCAACCAGGAAAGTGGACATAAAACATTTTCATAATTCTTGTAAAATTTTATGTAACGATAGTGCTTGCTTGCAGTTTAATGTACATTAAGTGCAAAAGAGAAAACCAACAATTACAACCCCTGCCTTTCAGTATACTGGGTGAGACATGAGGAGTTGGGATTGGATGATACCATCGCACTTGCTCTGAAGACAGTTCTCATTGGGTATTACTTCAGGCCCCTATGTGAGAGCACTTCAAAAGTTTTGTAAAAAATGGAATTGAAATATGTTGATTTTGTTGCAAAAAAATGTTTGAAATCCATGTATAGTCTTTGCATGATATTCATTTTCATGAAGTTTTTGAATACCCCTCATATGCATGGATTTCAGTATTTTTACATCAAGCAAACTTACCTTTGAAAGGCAGAAAGATTGAGTGGGGAGAGGAAAATAGAGTGTGCTGCTTCACTCCGCACATGCCTGCAACAGCCAGGGCTGAGTTGGGCTGAAGCCAGGAACCTGGAACTCAATCCAGGTCTCTATTCATGTGGCAGGGACCCAAGTACAAGAGCCTTCACCCCCTGCCTCACAGGGCACACATTCCAGGAAGCTGGAATCTGGAGTGGCCCTGGGACTTGAACCAAGGCACTCTGATACAGGATATGGGTATCACGTGTGGTGATTTAAGGGCTACACCAAATGCCTGCCTCTGAACTTTTCTTCTTTTTCTTTTTTTTCTTTCTTCTTTCTTTTTTTCAAATCACATTATATTATTTTTTTTTTTTTGGGACACGCAGAGTGGACAGTGAGAGAGAGAGACGGAGAGAAAGGTCTTTCTTTACCGTTGGTTCACCCTCCAATGGCCACTGCGGCTGGCACGCTGCAGCCGGCACACCGCACTGATCTGAAGCCAGGAACCAGGTGCTTCTCCTGGTCTCCCAAGCACTTGGGCCATCCTCCACTGCACTCCCGGGCCACAGCAGAGAGCTGGCCTGGAAGAGGGGCAACTGGGACAGAATCTGGCGCCCCAACTGGGACTAGAACCTGATGTGCCAGCACCGCAGGTGGAGGATTAGCCTATTGAGCTGCAGCGCCAGCTTGAACTTTTCTTCTAATTCAATTTTCTACAAACTTTTTGAGGCACCTTCATATCTACAAAAGGAAAATACTGGAAAGGATCAGAACTCCTCTGACTCTCTGGCTGGTGTGTGGTGATCTTCACAGAACTGGGCTATGAATGAAAAGTTCTTTCTTTACTGAGACTCAGTGAGTTCTGTGACCTCAGGTACTTTGGACTGCTTGCCTATGCAGAATCCCATTTTTGCCAGAGTCAAGAAGGAGGACAGCAATCTCTGGATATGGCACCCAGAATTATATTTGCAATAAAATATAAACAGGAAAAAGAAAGCCTCTTTGACTCATTTCAGTTTCTTTCACTGAACTCTTGTTTCATGAGATGAAAAGGATCCAGTGAACACCCAGCCCCCTAAGAGATTGTAGCCCTTGATTTTGGCAGGGTCATAAATTGGAAGATTCAGAGCCACCACTCCAGTAAAAACAGATACTCTCAGAAGCATCCAACTTTCTTATAGCTTTTGGTGCTTGGCCCCATAGACTGGCCATCCCAAGGTTGTTTACTGGCTTAAGAGTTCCCTTTACCCTTTCTCCCAATCTAAACCTGCTCATAACTGTTGACCTTGGAGGGCAGAAGGCATCCCGTAAACTGAGTCAAGGTACAGTGGTCAACAAAGCTCAATGTACTATTAATGCCAAAGGCCCTGCATTATAAGAGGGACTATGATTTTATGTCTAAATGGAGTCCCTCCTCCTGGGACAAATACTAAAACAGATGGGCTACTGGGATAACAGGAATAAACCAGAACTGTCCTGGGTAAATTGGGATGGTGGTCAGCTGAATTACAGCAGAGGTCAATGTCTTAACCTGGGAAGACATCTGCAAAGGTAGAATTCTGATACCAGCTGAAGGAGAGAGTTGCTTTGGGAGGTACAGAACTTTCTTGTACTCTTTCCTTTATTTTATATTGTTTGGCTTCTACTGAAGTGTAAGAGTGACCCTTGACAGCAAGACTTCTTCCTGTCTTCCCATATTGTCACTTTCGTTCTGACATGACAGAGTACTGTTGTGCTGGTCTAGAATTTAGCAAATTGACTTGGAGTGATAGTTTTGATTTTTGGATCCTCCTATTTCAAAATTATATACATATAGTTGTTCTTAGTTAATATTTGTTCAGTGCACTGAAATGAGAAGAGATAATTGCTCATTTAAGAATGCAGGATGATTATATCACCCTATAGAAGGGGCTTCAAACATTTATGTAAAATTCACATTATCTTTTAATTCTCTTTTCCCATGAATACTTTGAAGCTCCTTTTTCTATTCCTATGTATTATACACACACACACACACACACACACACATACACACACATACACACACACATACACATATCTTACCGGCAGAACATCTTTGGAGAATGAGTTATTTAAGGTGAAATTTCCAGGAGGTAGTGTCAAAACAAGGAAATTTTTCATATAGTCAGGGGCTGTGACACTGTCATTGAAGTAGTAGTTACTGTAATAAAATGTACAGGTTCTTAGTGAAAATTAGGTTCCTCAAAAAATAAAGACATATCTTCCACATTTTACAAAACTATAACATGAGCCTTGAAAATAGTCAGAAACATTTTTTCAGTTCCCAGATAGGATTATTTTCTTCTATATTTGCCAAATTGAATAAAAGAACTTAGGTACCTCTAAGTCAAAATACACAAATGGAAAGGAAAAATCAGGATACAGGTACTCCTTTGAGACAGCTTTTGTTTTCAAGACTTAGAAACTGTTAGTTTATACCTGGAATCTTTCTTTTCCTTAAACACCCTTAAGAATATAAAGATACTAAGGAGCAGGTGGTTGGCATAATTGTTCATATACCTGTGTCCCACTTCAGGGTGTTGCCTGGGTTTGATTCCAAGCTACAGCTCCCAACTTCAGCTTCCCACCAAGGCAGACCCTGGGAGGCAGCAATGATGGATCAATGAATTGCCACCCACATGGAGACCTGGATTGTTTCTGGCTCCTGATTCTGACCTTGACTTACCCCAGCAACTGTGGGCCTCTAGGGAGTAAACTAGCAAATGGAAACTCTGTCTCTCTTTCTCCTCTTCTATCCATCTCTCACTCTCTTTCTCCTCTTCTATCTGTCTCTCAAATAAATTAAAATATAATAAGGATTGCGAGATGGCAGACATAAAATTTGTCATTAGGCCTACTTTTCAAATGGTTAAACTCAAGCATAAACATTTTCTCTAACACTGTAAGTTTTTGACATGTAGGATATTGGTTTATTGATCTTTGTATCATCAACTCTTAGACAATAGTTGGCACATTGTAGACTCAACATCATTTGAAGTTGCTCTGATAATCATATGGGTTCTAAACTTCCTAATACTTTGGATGCTTTAATACGCAAACAATGTAACTTTAAAAAATTTTTAACACATATATAAAAATCATATATATCTATGGGGTATCATATATCATATATATGTATGGGGTACCATATATCAATATATGTATACATTGTATAATGTCCAATTAGGGTAAACAGATTTATCTCTGCAAATACTTAACATTTCTTCATGGGAAAATATCCAAAATCCTATTGCCTAGGTTTTTTTAAAGAATATAACATGTTTGAAATGCTATAACTAGGGTGATTATCATTTAATGTTTAAACACAACTTTGTACTAACGACTGTTGGATATTTTGCCCATACTATCACATCTAATTCCAAAAGCACCCTCATAAAGTGGACATTCTAATTCTCATTTTATAAATGAGAAGATTTATATAGATTTATTTATTTACTTGCAAGTCAGAATTACAGTGAGAGAGTGAGAAACAGACACACACACACACAATGAGGGGGTGGGGAGTAAGAGAGTGAGAGACAGAGAGAAAGAAAGAGATCTTCCATTCGCTGATCCATTTCCAGATGGCCTCAATGGCTGAGGTTAACTCAGGCAAAAGCCAGGAGCCAGGAATTTTATCTAGGTCTCCCACTTGGGTGGCAGGGACCTAGATACTTGGGTCATCTTCCACTGTTTTTCCCAGGACATGAGCAGGGAGCTGGATCAGGAGTGGAGCAACCAAGACTCAAACCGGCACCCCTATGGGATACTGTCATTGAAAGTGGAAGCTTTACCCACTATGCCACAACCCAGGCCCCCAGATGAGGAGATTTAATTTCAAGATGCCAAGAAATACCTGAATCAAAAGAATCAGGAGTATCAGAATTAGGATTCAAACACAAGTTATGTCTAGTTTTGAATCTTCCTAAAACATTACCACACATCTTTAGGGAATAGTGACAATGGAATGCCTGCACTCAGGTAGTTGACTGAGGATTTTTCAAAGTAAAATTACACTAACCTGGCTACACTAAGGACTTCTTTTAGAAGATGAAGCAGTTGTTGAAATCAACGTGATTGTAGGAGTGAACTATTGATAATTCTGCCTTCTTTCCTGTACTTAGGCAGCTAAAAGCCTAAGTTGGATGATTAATAATGTGTGTGTACAACTAGCTGTGAAACAGCCTCATAGTTCCTATGCCACATGTTTAGTGTGGGTGAAACAATGAAGCACATGTGGGAAACATCTAACATCGTAATTGTTTGGCTCTGAACACAGACAGGTAATGATTAATGATCTAGTCAGATAAGTGAGGGCATGTGATCTCACTGATGGGGACAAGGGGCAGAGTCATACTGGTGATCTCTGACTCAAGTACTGCTTTGGCACAGTTTGTTAGTGGAGTCTCCAACCATATTAGAAGGTTAGTGGTTAAAAAAAAAAAAACAGGAAACAAGATAGGTTGTGATAAAAGGTGATTTGTTTTCTCTGGAATTTTCTCTCCTTAGTTCTAGAGAAGTGTGGCTGTTCTTGCTCACTTAGTGACTATACTGCAGAGGCAAAGAATAATTGTTGTCAAATAGACTGATAACTTTAACTTCACTCTTATCAAAGGTAGCTGAAGGAAAAGTAATCTAGGATCAAAGGCCATTAGCAATTGAAGGGAAAAAATTGTGGTGCCCAACTCCAGGAACAATATTGAGTTATATAGTTGATTTATCATTTTCTGGATAAAGACCTTAAAATCAAACTGGAAATAAGGACCCCATGTTGATTAAGTACGCCTCACAGATGAATGGACATGTTGGTTTAATGGGGCTTTTTTTTTTTTATAAGGAGGTTGGATGAGCTCCTTTTTTTTTTCTTTCTTTCTTTTTTTTTTTTTTTTTTTACAGGCAGAGTGGACAGTGAGAGAGAGACAGAGAGAAAGGTCTTCCTTTTCTGTTGGTTCACCCCCCAGTGGCTGCTGCAGCCGGCGTACTGCAGCTGGCACACCGCACTGATCCGAAGCTAGGAGTCAGGTGCTTCTCCTGGTCTCCCATGTGGGTGCAGGGCCCAAGGACTTGGGCCATCCTCCACTGCACTCTGATGGGGCTTTTTAAAAACTTTTGTATTTAGACATAATGGGAGGTGTCAACGGAATACATCTTTGCTAAGGTCACAACTGATTAGATAAGAATGATCATGTGATGAGGAAGGCAGGAAACTCTGGTCTAAATATTATCATACTGAACCCCATATGAGGGTGTGTGAAGCAAGGGAAGTGAGAATGTGTCTTTTGGAAATCCTTGGAGTATTTCCTTTCTGAAAGAAGAAAGGTTCTTCCAAATATTATACCTACTTGAAGAGATCCACCAGAATAATGACAGTGTCTTCAGCTACTGTCCAGTCATCCTTCAAATTGTCGATGACTTTTGGTTTACCACACATAACAATCACTAGAAGAGAGAGAGCAAGACAAGGAGAGAAATACATGATGATCCACACACAAACAGGGAAGGGAACCAATTGCCTGAATTTAAACCCAGTAGATTTAAACCCATGTTCCATTTTTAAAAATATTAACACCAATTCCTCAAATTCCTCCTCCTTCTTCTTCCTTCCCTTTTTTTTCTCATTTACAGTTTCAAAGTCAGAACAGAACTGTATGAAATCTTTAAAAAAAACCATCTAGTCTATTGCCGTACTTTTCTAGATTTAAGGAGACTGAAGTCAGGATGCCAAGAGGATCTAGGAACTAGTAGATAAAAGAGGTAGCTTTGACAGTCAAATTCATGATTGTTGATCCAGCTCTGAGTCCATTACGACAACTGGGTGGTTACAAAAGCTATTTCCTTGATAAATAATGTGTGCTTCATCATTTGCAGGCAGAGGACTAACCTACTGCGACACGTTGCTGGCCCCCTGATATTTTCTTGTTTGTAGAGAGAATTCTATGGAAAGTGCAAGAAACAACCTAACAACTTAGTGAGGATGACTTTATCCCATTTGCCTTTCACACTTGGCTTCCAGTTGGGAGATAACCAGGCAAATGGGATACAGAAAGATTATGAATCCGAGACAATCTTTGCTTTTCTTGTTATTTTATATGGGGTCATATATGAATAAGTCTACCTTCTTGATCACCAGGGAGATCAAGGCTCAGAGTGTGTGAAGATCAGTCACAAATCTGATAATATGTTGGACAACATAAATAGCAATTTACATGTAGTATATCATAATACCATTTTGGCATATAAAAGATGGATTTCAACATTATCATTACTTATGTTAATATACTGAATACTAATTTTGTGTTTTCTCTGAGGATAAGGCTTTAGTCAATAAAAGGAACAGTAGAGGCCTGCACTGTGGCATAGTGGGTGGCACTGCCGCCTGCAGTGCCAGCATCCCATATGGGCACTTGTTGGAGTCCCAGCTACTCCACTTCCAATCTGGCTCTCTGCTATGCCTGGGAAAGCAGTAGAGGATGGCCCAAGTCCTTAGGCCCCTGTACCCACATGGGAGACCCAGAGGAACTCCTGGCTCCTGGCTTTGGATCTGCGCAGCTCCGGCCATTGCAGCCAATTGAGGAGTGAACCAGCAGATGAAAGATCTCTCTCTCTCTCTCTCTCTATCTATCTCTATCTCTATCTCTGCATCTCCTTCTCTCTGTGTAACTCTGACTTTCAAATAAATAAATAAATCTTAAAAAATAAATAAAATAAACATTATAATAAAGTTACATGTAACTACAGATCTCCCAAAATATACACAATATTTATACTTGTAATATTGATACCTCTCTGGTGCTAGTTTTATTGAAATGACTCATGAGGTGGTAGTCATGAGGAAGAAGTTAGCTAAAACAATCCGTGCTTCTTCTTACCATTGCTTTTCCTGTTAAGGTCCGTCAAGATATTACGAAACTCATCCTCTTTTCTCAATGTATCCTTGAAGTTGAGTTCCTGAGAGAAATAGGAAACTCCAGCCTCCAGTGCATTTAGGTACCTAGGACAGGAAAAAGAGAAACTAAGAACCAGCATGGCCTTCCCACCCTTTCATGTATTATTTGCAGATCTGTTCTAAGACCTTTTTATCTGAAATTCATTTCCATTATTAATGAAATAGGTAATACATTTCATGGTACCATTGGCTTGGATTGTGGGTATCCAATTCATTGAAAGTATGGGGGAAAGTTCTAAGAAATATTTCTATATTCATTGTGCTTCAGAAAGTTAATTGAAGATGGAATTAGAAGATAAGTTTATTTTGGTGCAAAAAAATCTTGAGTGGCCAGAGTTGTGGCATAGTGGGTTAAGCCACTGCTGGCAATGCTGGTATCCCGTATGTGTGCCAATTAATGTCCCAGCTGCTCCACTTTCAATCCAGATCCCTGCTGACGGCCTGGTAAAGCAGTGGAGGATGGTCCAAGTGCTTTGGCTCCTGCCACCCATGTAAGAGAACTGGATGAAGCTCTGGACTCCTGGCTTCAGCCTGGCCCATTGCAACTATCTGGGGAGTGAACCAGCAGATGGAAGATCTGTGTCTCTCCCTTTCTCCCTAGAACTGCCTTTCAAAAAAAAAAAAAAATCTTGAAATCCATGCCTATGTAGAGTCCTCAAAAAGCTAATGGAAAATGTTTACTATGAACTATGTATGGATTTCAAAATTTTTTTGCACCAAAGTAAATTTATGTTTTTAGAAAATTTTATTTATTTAAGAGGTAGAAAGAGAGAGGAGAGTGCTTCCATCTACTGCTTCACTTTCCAAATGTCTAAAATGGCCCTAGACCATGCTGGGGCTGAAGCCAGGAACTGAGAACTCAATCTACGTCTCTCATGTGGGTGGCAGGAACCCAATTACTTGAGCCATTACTACTGCCTCACTTGGACGGTAATAGAAAGAAGCTGAAAACAAGAGCTGCCGACCAGGTGCTCCAACATGGGAGGCACAGGCATCTTAATTGGTGTCTTAACTGCTAGACAGATGCCTGCACCTAAACTTATCTTTTAATGCCATTTTCCACAAACCTTTCTGAAGTATCCCCTTACGTGAATTAATAGACCTTTGTGGGGCTTGGTGTAGATGGTAAGCTACCACTTGGAATGTCTGCATCCCATGTTGAGTAGCAGAAAATTTGAGTTCTGGCTCTGCACCCAATTCCAGTTTCCCTGCTGATGTGTACCCTGGGAAGCACAGGTGATAGCCTAAGTGGTTGGGTCCCTGCCACACACATGGGAGACCCATTCTAACTTCTTGGTTCCTGGCTTTGGCTTGGCCCAGCCCCAGCTGTCAAGGGCACTTGGGGAGTGAATAAATGGGGGAGAGCTCTCTTGCTCTCCCTCTCTCTGACCTTCAAATAAATTTTTAAAAAATTAAAAATAAAGACAAAAAACCAACACAGATTGTAGAAATCTTGTTGGTTCCTTATACTAGCTTCCTGCTACTTGCAGAAAGAAGGCTCTATTCTGTTCCATATACCAGTTCCATTGTCAGGGGTGAGTTGAAACCTTTAATTCTATAGCACAAAAATTCAGAATTGATAGCATAATTTCTACTCCTGTACGAAATGCATACTTATATGTTCTAAGTTCACCCTAAAATTTATAGGGTGAGGTCTTAGGGTTGATTCCTGTAGTTCTCTAGAAAGGAATCCATACTGGTGTCACATTTTAGTTTTCTGCATACAGTCATGCATCACATAATGACAGGGATACATTCTATGAAAAACATCATTAGATAATTTGATCATTGTGTGAGCACCATAGAGTGTACTCACAGAAATTAAGATGGCTACAACATCCTAGGTGATATATTCCTATGGGAACATCTTTCATGTGCATGGTCTATTGTTGACCAAAATGCTATCATGTGGTACACAACTGTACTTGGGTGGAGAGAGTCTGAAGAGCTAAGCAGCATATTGGAAGTGCAAGCAGTAACACAATCACATGGTTCCTTCGGCCATTTTTGCTGGAGTTGAGTGAAGCTTGCAATTTTTGTAGCCAATAGTATGCACTATTTCTGTTGTCTCACCCATATTCCTCTGAAAAGGTGTGAGAGAAATTACTGCTAACTGTACAAATAGGCAGAATGAATATTCCCTGTAATCATATCCTACACAGCAATGTGAAAGCATTAACTTCTGATTTTCCAAAATTTTCTTTTATGTAAAAGGGAATATTATTCTCTTTTGTTTAGAGGATTTACTGTGAAATAAATTGATGTAAATATACTTCCAAAACTAAAAAGAACATTACAAATGCAATCAATATCTGCTGACATTTTTACAATACAATATTCAGTTTGACCCCTCTACTTTTATTTGTATGTAAGAAAGTGGGCTGGTTTGCAAATGCTGTTACCAGGTTAAAGGTACATCTGATAACAGCCAGGAGGGTCTGCCATTAGTGTATGGTTGTTTTTCCTGGCAAATGCCAGCAGAATATTAATGATCCTGCTTACCAGAAACAGTCCTCAGTCTCAGAGCCATCCTTATAAATGTATGAAGAGTCCCAGGAAAAAGGTTTGAAAGGCAAATCATTGACCTTCCAGAAGTTAACCAAGAAATACATCAACTTCCTAGCTGGAGGCATCAGCCTGGTTAAGGTTTCTTTGTAGTCACATGACAATCCAAAACTTCCAGCCGAAATCATGGGGTAGTTCAATTGTGTGTCAAGGCTATGCCAAGAGGTGAGAAAGAAACCAGTATCAGGATTAACTTAAGTAACACAAATAAGATCCCTCTGGAACCCATTTCATCATGTATGTATAAATGGCAAGAATGAAATATTGCCACTAGAGCAAGTTGCTCATTTATATAGGTGTCCTCACCACACAGATAAATTTAAAACAACAGTTACAAGCACATGCTATGCTCCAAGCCCACTCTAGGTAGGTTCATGAATATGTGACTGTGTTACTTTGATTTACTCTAAAATGTACTATCATAATGTCTGGGTGGGATACATGGGTTTTGAGGAGTAAGGCAAGGAAATTAGAGTCTATGCCAATACAGCCATCATAATTTTTGCAGAGCCAGACACATGTTATCTCCATTATTCGCTCCATGCATCACTTTCTTTCCAGCTCTGCTACAGGTGACTTTTGAGACAAACATTGGCTGGGGATTTCCCTGCTCAGCACATGAATTTTCTTGTGGTTCTTAAGCATACCAGGCTTCATTCACAACCAGGATCTTGACGAATGCCAGGAATGGTGTCCTCTCCCTCTTTGATTCAGACTCTTAAGCATCCCACAGGTTCTAGATTAAATATCTCCTTATCTATCAGGAAAACTTTCCTAAATACCTAAGACCAGGCAATTAATTTGGGTGAGTATCTGTAAATATCTGTGTTCTACACTAGCCTGGAAGTTCCCTGAAGGCAGGATCATGTCTGGCTTCTGCATCTGTATGCCTGGCTCATAATGTATTTAATGAGGGAAGGAAAATATCCCTTTCCATCTTCTATGCTCCATTGAAAAGTTTTCCTGGGTGTCCTACTTGTATCTCAAACTTACCAAGTTCACAGACAAATTTACCTTTGATTTTTTTTGTTCCTCAAAACTTCTCTTGATTTTTTTCATTTCTCTTAGTGTTTTGAGATTTCAAAGCTTTCTTTGACTTCTTTCCATTCCTCATCCCAACATCCAGTTGTCAAATACTATTGATTTTAACCTTCAGATATCTGTTAGGTTGGCTTCCCTTCCCTTGCCCACTGTTTTCATGCTCATTCAGGTCCTCCTTCTCCCCTGCTGACTCTCCTGTCATCAGTCTTAACCCGTGCCTTTTCTATACTCTGCCACTGATTATTCTTTTCAAAGTTGAGCTTCTCCTTATGATTCAAATCCATCCTGGTTTTTAATATAAATCTCTATTAAAAACAACTTCCTTTTCCTGGATTTCTCTCAAATAAACTTCCAAACATAACCCTATTTAATTTTTCATAGTCTTATCTCTATTATTTCCCTATAGATTTCCTAAATTGTAGTGAACACAGAATTTCATAAATTTTCTTACTTCCCTACTTCTGGATTTTACACATACTTCTCTCTCTGCCTGGCTGGAAAGTTTATGCCCTCATCTTTACTCATTAACATTTCATCCATTCTTTAATCTGTAACTCAGATACCACCTCTTAGCAAATCCTTCCTCTCTTGAAGCTTAACCATTTCAACCAGAGGCAGCCATTTCCTTCCATGTTACACACGGCAGCTGCCTTTTTGTGCTTCTCTGACGGAACCTATGTCACTCTGCCTCATACTGGTCATCAATGTCCTTCACACTGTCTCTATTTGACTGGGTAGGGGGTGTGTTTTACTTCATTCTATCTACACTGACAAAACTAAAATGCTTTTTTGTGCATTGAAGGACCTTGTCAGTGGTGAATCAGTTTTCCCAATGCCGACTCTATAGCTGTATTAGTAAGTGATCAAAAGATGACATTTGCCAATAAGTGCAGGGAAGAATAAAATTCTGTAAGTCCGTCTGCTTTGGGTGTGCAAGATGGGCTCAGAAAGTGCCTCTGTAATCAAGATGGCATGTACCAATGCCGTCTCACTAGTCCAAGTGATCAATTTCTGTTCACAATTGATCATAATGATAGGACTAAGAGCCAAAGGGATCACATAAACAAGAGTAGTATCTACTAATACTAACTGATAGAATTAAAAAGGGAGAGAACGATCCAACATGGGAAGCGAGATACACAGCAGACTCATAGAATGGCAGATGTCCTAAACAGCACTCTGGCCTCAGAATCAGCCCTTAAGGCATGCGGATCCAGCTGAAAAGCCCATGAGAGTATTTCAGGCATGGAAAGCCAAGACACTCTGGCAAAAAAAAAAAAAAAAAAAAAAAAAAAAAAAAAAAAAACAAAACACAACACAAAACCTAAATGAAAGATCTCCGCGAGTGAGATCCCAGTGTCCCAGTGGAAAGAACAGGTCATCAAAGAAGGAGGTATCTTTCTCTGAAGGGAGGAGAGAACTTCCACTTTGACTATGGCCTTGTCTAAATATGATCAGTCGGCAAACTCAAAAGGCTTCCATAGCCTTGGCAACTCATGACAAGAGCCTAGGGTGATTACTGATGTCATAAACATGAGTGTCAATTTGTTAAGTCAACAACAGGAGTCACTGTGCACTTACTCCTCATGTAGGATCTCTGTCCTTAATGTGCTGTGCATTGTGATTTAATGCTATAACTAGTACTGAAACAGTATTTTTCACTTTGTGTTTCTATGTGGGTGCAAACTGTTGAAATCTTTACTTAATATATGCTAAATTGATCTTCTGTATATAAAGAGAATTGAAAATTAATTTTGATGTGAATGGAAGGGGAGAGGGAGTGGAAAGGGGAGGGTTGTGGGTGGGAGGGATGTTATGGGGGGGAAGCCATTGTAATCCATAAGCTGTACTTTGGAAATCTATATTAATTAAATAAAAGTTAAAAAAAAAAGTGCCTCTGTAGTGATATATGATGGCCCCTTGGCCTTTAGGTCTATTGGGAATAAGGTTTCACTAGCAGACTTTGCAAAATATTTCTTAAAATTTTTAGATTTAATTTTTATTTATTTGAAAGGTAGACAGACAGAGAAAGAGACACATGTAGAGAGATCCCATCTGCTGGTTCATTCTCCAAATGCCTGCAACAGCTAGGGTTGGCCCAAGCTGAATGCAGGAGCCTGAAACTCAATCCCAGTTTCCTATATGTGTGGCAGGGACCCCACTACTTGCACTATTACCTGCTATCTCCCAGGGTATACATTAGTAGGAAGCTGGAATTGGAAGTGGTGCTGGAACATGAACCTAGGCACTCCAATACAGGATGCAGGCATCTCTAGTGGCAACTTAACCATTAAGCCAAGCACCTGCCTCTGCAACAAAAAATTTGGAGGTCTAATGTTATCCTCCAAGACCTGTCACAAGGTGTCCTTCAGCATGTTTTTCTCTGTGTAGACAAGAAATGATCCTAGATTCATGAGAAGACTGAAGAGGTAAAAGAAAGACATATGAGATGGATTTTAATGGGGGAAGATGTGATCTGGAAGAACAAAATGTTTTGTGGTAAAGTGAGTTAAACTGCATGAATTTTCCCAAAGCCAGAGAACTATTTTAATTCTAGACCTATATTGAAAGCTTATGTCTTAAACAATAAAGGCACTGTGCAAAGTACCTTAATATGTTATTTATATAATTTATATGACCCTCAGATAATCCTATGAAATAAGTACCTTTTTACTTCCTCAATTTTTACAAACCTAGGTGTTGCTTTTTCCTTTGTATTTCTCTACTCTATGCCCTTACATTTGTGAATATTCTCTTTATTAAACACCTCAAATTATCCAAATTCAATGCCTTCCCTGTTTCCTGCCAGGATGCTGGTTTTTGATGCATACCATGTTCATGTCAAATTCAGATGAATGGTCACTGTAATTCACCCCATGCTGAGCAAAGGTAGAGCCAACTAGGGAAGGAACAGCGATTAGAGAGACGTGAGCAAAATACAAGGGTCCCCACATCCCTGACTGTGTGCCCTTGAGTAGCCTGTGGTTTGTTATGTCATTTAGGTTGTGATGTCATGCCCTGACTTCAATTCACAACAGGATCAAAACAAAAGCAAACCAAGTGACTTACTACATCTGGAACGTAGAGTATGTACACGAAGGCCCCATGAGGACACAGCCCATCTGTTTTTCTCTCTGTGGGAGATAAAAAAAATTAGTGTCTAAACCAACAAATTAATCCATGGACAGACAAGAAGTGGCCAGAAGGGTCCCAGAGGTTACAAAGTGGACCTCTTAAGGTGTTTGAATGCGAAACAGAAAGGAGCAACAAATGGTGTGTTGGGATGGGCAAAGACTAACTTAGGCATGAAGAGATTGACAAAGAGGAGAAGCTGCAGGTGGAGGGAGAAGGTGCCCACAATGGTGAGCTGCCTGAGAGAACCTGGGTTCCTGACCAACTGGAGGATGAAAAGAGGCAGAAGAAGGACTGGGGGCCTGGAACATAAATAGTACCTGTGGGACAGATGGTGGGGAGACTAGTTTTAGAGGTTAAGGGAGAGGGCAGGGTTTGGTTTTAGGGAGATATATAAAGTGGTGCTGAAGTGAACATAAGGTGATGCAATTAACTGGGTAATTGTAGATCTTATTTCCAACTACTTCTCCAGAAAACCTGGTTAGGAACACCTGGTCTCTGCTTTTAGGTTGTACCTCTCTGGAAGAAGCACACACTCCTTGAACTGTCGAATTTTTCAAACTATCCTTACCTACTTCTCCTTATTCTCTTAAGGTGGAGAGTCACTATGGCAACAGCTGCTCCACCGAACATGAGTATGGCCTATCTGGCCGATGTGAAGCATTGGTTACAGTTTTAGACCCGTGTATGGCTCTACTCCCAGTGCTCTGTTTCTTGGAAAGCCTTTTCCTCGGTTTTGGTTGTACAGGGCATCTTGCACACTTGTTTCTGGAAGCTTGTTATGCTCTTTACAGCTCTGGTTGGGGTTAGGGTGGGGCGCTGGGAGGAAGAATTAGGCAAGAAGCTCTCTTCCCACCCTTCTACCCTTTGACATTTATAGTTACTCTGATATTGGACTCCTGCTACTTTGATTTTACTACTTTAACATTAGGTTTTAGACAAGAAATTAACCTGTGTTCTGATAAGTAGAGATGACTTGAAACAGATTTCTGATGTGGGACCTTGAAATATATTTTTAAACATGGCCCCTCAGCTATTTCTGGAGGACACAAAGACAAATCAGTTTACAGAAGCATTAGGCTTCGGTATAATTTAGAACCAAATTAATTCTCCTCCACATCACCGAAAGTTTATCAACAGAATACAGCTAAGTTTGTCCCAAATTTTCCTGGACTCCTGAGGGGCTCTTTTCCCTTGGAAAATCTATAGGGATAAAGCCAGAGTGCCCTGCCTTCAGATCTTGTAGTTGCATGGCTGGAGCTGATCCGAGAGATGCTTCATAGGTTCATGCCCAAGTCTTACATGGCAAGCATCCTGCACCAAGAGGGCAGAAGCTATCTCTACACAGGCAAATACTTACTGTGATTTCCCTGAGGAGGTCAAGTCCTTCACAAGTGCTGCTCCGGCAGTCACCTGACTTATGAATCAGCCCATCTGAGTAGATAAAGGTAGCATTCACAGTCACATTCAGGCCTGTTATCCAGAAATGAAGGCAAACAGAAAACTCGTGTTATTCTACGTTAGTTTCTACCAGTCATGAGATTGATCTCTTGCCAACTGATCTTGGGGAAAAAAGATATCCATGTTCAGGCCTAGATTTTTTGAGTCTTGAGTCCTTGTTTTATTCCTTTTTACTTCTTGCCTATCTATGTCTCTCCAAATATGCTTCTGTCTCTGACTCTCAACAGCATTACCCATTTCAAAATATTTAAAATATTTAATGAATATACAGAGTTTGTAACCTTCACCACAAACCAGTTTTAGGACATCTTTTTGTTGTTGTTGTTGTTCACTGCTGTCTACATCTTCATTTTACAACCCCAGGCTCAGAAAATTTTGCATATGGGACTGCAGAGTGTAAGGAAAGCAAGACACAGACTTTATGACATACTACTTTTTTCTGTTTCCAAAAGTCTCTGATTCTGTTTGCTTTAACGGGCATAAGGCTGCAGACTTTTTTGGTCTCTGATCTTCATTCATCTATTCAGTCAATAGATATTTATTAAGTTCCTGCTTTTTGTGTGGTTTACATTTTCTTTGGGGGTTACACAGATTAGTGCTATTCCTGATAGGATGGACGTGGAAGTTTCTAAGGGAAGCTGGGACCTGAGTGATGTGAGAGAGTAAACCATGCAGATACCTGGCTTCTGATCAAGGAGAAGAGCAAGGGGAAAAACCTGGGCAGGGTCATTTTTGACAGGTTTCAGGAGCAGGAAGGTGACTGGGATGGTAATAGCAGAGTGAGGGTAGAATGAGTAAAGTTAGAGGGAGACCACATCATGCATAGCCATGCAAGTTTTAGTAAGGACTTTCAGTTTATTTGGCAGTGAGATGTCTTTGGAGATTTTATTGTCTGTCTATCATTTTTTTTTTGACAGGCAGAGTGTACAGTGAGAGAAAGAGACAGAGAGAAAGATCTTCCTTTTTCCACTGGTTCACCCCCCAAGTGGTTGTTTTGGCTGGTGTGCTGCGCTGATCCAAAGCCAGGAGCCAGGTGCTTTTCCTGGTCTCTCATGTGGGTGCAGGGCCCAAGCATTTGGGCCATCCTCCACTGCCTTCCCGGGCCACAGCAGAGAGCTGGACTGGAAGAGGAGCAACCAGGACAGAATCTGGCGCCCCGACCGGGACTAGAACCCAGTGTGCCGGCGCCACAGGCGGAGGATTAGCCTATTGAGCCACAGCGCCGGCCCGTCTATCATTTTAAAATTATTTCTATGGATTCTGGTGAAAATAGATTATGGGTAGCAGGAATAGAAGCAGGAAGACTAGTTAGAAGGATAGCCTAATAATAACCTATGTCAGTAACAACAGTAGCAGCAAACACAAAGAAAAACAGTTGCATTTTGGATATATTTTGAAGGTAGGATACACAAGAAATTGCTGATAGGAGCTGACATTGTGGTGTAACTAGGTAAATGCCTGCCTCTAGTGATGCCAGCATCCCATACTGGAGTGCCAGTTCTAGTCTGGGCTGCTCTGCTTCTGATCCAGCTTCCTGCTCATGTGCGTGGGAAGTCAGTGGAGGATGGCCAAGGTATTTGGGCCCCTACCATCTCTGTGGGAGATCAGGATGGAGTTTAATTTTTTAATTTAAGCTTATTTATTTTGAGGAGGGGAGGGAGGAAAGAAGGAGTGGGAGAAATAAAAGAGCTCCCAACTACAGATTATCTCCCCAAATACCAGCAAGGGTAAGGTTGGGTCAAGGGCTCAATTCAAAACTCCCACATGAGTGGCAGGCACCCAGCTACTTGAGTCATCCCTGCTGCCTCCTCAAGTCTGCATTTGCAGGAGCTGGAACTGGAAACCGGAGTCAGCACTCGAATGCAGGTACTCCAATATGGGATGAGGGCATTCCTAGGCAACATCTTAAACACCAAGCCAAATGCCTGCCCCAAAACCTAATATTTTTGACCTGAGAAAGTAGATGAAGGAAACTGCTATTGACCAAAATGGGAAAGAACATGAGAGGAGCAGGTTTGTTAATGTAGGTAATGGAAGAATCATGAGTTCAACTTGGATAGATCAAGTGTGAGATACCTATCAGGTTTCCAAATAGAGATGACAAGTAAGTTGAATACACCTGTGAGGAACCATATCAATGCAGTCATACTTATTGATAAAAATCTGTCACGTACTTGCAATGCTGGTATCCCAAATCAGAGCGCTAGTTTGAGTCCCAGCTGCTCTGCTTCCGATCTAGCTTCCTGCCAATGCTTCTAGAAAAGCAAAAGAAGTTTCAAGTACTTGGGCCCCCACTACCCATGTGGGAGACCAGGAGGGAGTTCCTGTCTCCTCTCTTTAGCTTGGCCCAGATCAGGCTATTGGGACTATTTTGGGAGTGAGCCAGCAGTAGAAGACATGAGATGTCTGTTTGCCTCTCTCTCTCTCCGCCAGGAACTGGCCACAATTCTAAGTACTTTCCCCCATCTATTGAATTGTCTTTTTTTTAATTAGTTAATTTATTTCAAAGGCAACCAGAGCTGATCAGGAGCCAGAAGTTTCTTCCACATCTTCCATGTGGGTGGTAGGGGCCTCAACACTTGGTCCATTGTCCGCTGCTTTCCCAGACACATTAGCAGGGAGCTAGATCAGAAGTGGAGTTACTGGGACTCAAACCAGCACCCATATAAGATGCCAGTGCCTCAGAGGGTGGCTTAACCTGCTGCATCATAGTGCTGGCCCTCTCTATTGAGTTTTCACAACAATAGAGAGAATATGGGATATTGGAAGCCAGGAGGACATATAAATGAAGCTGGGGTAGATGTGAGAGATGAGGATGTCTAAGTGGAGACTAGAAGGAAAGAGGGCTGGGGAGGATCTTGGAAGCACCAGGAGGAGTCAGGATGTCACACAGAGGCCAGTGAGGAGGTGCCCAATTGAGACAGGGCTTCAGGAAACGGTCACACTCAGTGTTAATGTGTCAGCTTGCTCATCCCTCTCCATATTCCATCTTCACGAGGGCTCTGCTCCCACCTACTATCATTGAGGATCACTGAAGACGACCAACTTAAAAGTGCTGGGCTCCAGGCAGCCCCTGGTGGGCTCTGCAAAACCCATGTGTAAACCTTGCCCAAATCTGGCAAAAAGGGAAGCAGCATCTGTCAGTGTGACCTTAGATAAGTGACTTCATCACAGGTGCCCCAGTTCCTCATCTGTTTTGATAGAACGGACCTGCATCATTTCCGTCACTGTTAGCCTGGCATTGTAAGCTTTATTTCACTTAATCCTCTTCTGACTCCTAAAAGGTAATTAATATTTTATCATCCTAATTTAAAAATGAGGCAATGAGGCCAGCGCTGTGGCTAGTGGGTAAAGCTGCCGCCTGCATCCCATATGGGCGCTAATTCAAGTCCTGGCTGCTCCACTTCTGATCCAGCTCCCTGCGATGGCCTGGGAAAGCAGTAGAAGATGGCCCAAGTCCTTGGGTCCCTGCACCCGAGTGGGAGACCTGGAAGAAGCGCCTGGATCCTAGCTTTGGATCGGTTGAGCTCCAGCTACTGCAGCCATTTGGTGAGTGAACCAGCAAATGGAAGACTGACTCTCTGCCTCTGCCCCTGCCTCTCTGTAGCTCTGCCTTTCAAATAAATAGATAGATAGATAGATAGATAGATAGATCCTTTAAGAACAAATGAGATGATGGAAATCTAGACAGGTAGATTAACTTATTAAGTCACACAGCTGGCAAGTGTGGAACTGAGATTCACACCTGAGCAGTATGATTCTAGGGCTTGATATACTATTTTTCTTAACATTTATTTATTTACTTGAAAGGCAGAGTTACAGAGATACAGAGGCAGAAGCAGAGAGAGAGAGAGAAGTCTTTCATCCACTGGTTCACTCTCCAGATGGCCGCAACGGCTGGTGTTGGGCCAACTGGAAGCCAGGAACCAGGAGTTTTTTCCCCCCTTTTCCACGCAGGTGCAGGGGTCCAAGGACTTGGGCAATCTTCTACTGCTCTCTCAGGCCATAGAAGGGAGCTGGATTGGAAGTGGAGCAGCCGGGCCTCAAACTAGCACCCTTATGGGATGCTGGCACTGCAGGCAGCAGCTTTACTCACAACACCACAGCACCGCCCCCCTTGATATGCTATTGAATAGCTGTTCTCAAAGTATGAGCCACTGAGGGATCCTGAATTCCTTTCGGAGGTCGACAACGTCAAGGCTATTTCATGATTATATTAAGACTTTCTTTACTTTTTCCACTCTCCTTCTCTCATGAGCATATAATACCTTCCCAGAGACTACACGACAAAAATTATTGCAACAGATTGAATGCAGAGGTCAAAATAAGAGTGCAACCTTCTTCATGACATTAAATTAAGACATTTTCAAAAGTGTAAACAACTCCATTCTTCTCACTCTATCTTTTTTTGCATTGAGAAATGCAGATTTTCTTTAATAAAGGTAATGTATTATGTTCACAGGTATAGTGTTTATTTTTAAAATGCATTAATAAGAAAATATTTAACACAATGAGAGCTTAAATTATGATTCCACAGCTAGATTACTTTGCCATAGGCACAGTAAATAGGCAAAGCCTCCCTTTTTTAAAACCAAAGGGAAAGATTTTTACTAATGACTTAAAATTTAATAAATAAGGTGGTCATCATTTTGGACATAGCTTTCCTCATGCGCATTGTCTACCTCAAAGACAAACCACTATCAGAACATGCCTGTGACTACAGATTTCTAGTTCAGGCCACCAATGATTAGGGTCGGAGCACCCCCTTGACTTGCATTCTCTTAAAGGTTTCCTCTGGTCTGCTTTAACAAAAAAAAAAAAAAAAAAAAACAGGTGGAGGAGGAAGCTGGGCTACAAAAGCAATGTAAAGACAGGCAGTAGGCCAATTAATGGCTGCTTTACACAGTGATCTGCCATCAAAGAGACCCAACAGGCCAGTCCACCACATTGGTTTTCAATGTGGAAAGCCAGGGCTTCAGCAGAAGTCAGCTTATGAAGAGCCCTGACAGCTA